TGACTTGGTGCGTAAGCGGCCCCAAAAAATTGTACAAAAATCACAAAAAAATGTATGGATGTCACGAATAAAATTCAGCGTAATTAAAAAAAAAAAAAAAACAAATATATAGTATATTCTTCGATATACTTCTTTTATTGAATTTAAAATAAATATGAACATTTCTATTCATTTATATCGAATTAAATTATTGTTAATGATGTTCATAACCAATGATGATTGTATAGGTCTTGATCGTAATAATAAACATTTCGCACAACTCAATTATAAAAACCCGGAAGCTCTAGATAAAAATATTATTATCATCTATGTTATTACGATCAAGACCTATAGAATAATCACTGGTTATGAATGTCATAGGATAGAAATTAATAGAAATATTCATTTTTTTGATTGAAAGCCCTATTTCTATAAAAATGTAAAAAAAATATTTAGTATATTTACCAAAGACAAAATTGTCCGGACGAAAGAGTTGACCAAATGGACCACTACGTACTGAATCCATTGTACCCGGTTCGAGATCAACAAGAACAGCGCGTGGTACATATTTTCCACCTAAAACGAGAGAGCAAAAATAAAGATTCGTTTTGTATTTTATCTTCTGCTTACCAGCTGCTTCATTATAGTAAACATTAATACGTTCAAGTTGAAGATCCGAATCACCATGATACGCACCCGTAGGATCAATACCGTGTTCATCCGAAATCACTTCCCAAAACTAGAAATGCATCAAAATTTTATTTATAACAAGATATTCGACTGAAATATATTAACTTACTTTAGAACCAATCTGGTTCCCACATTGACCAGCTTGCATATGAACGATTTCGCGCATTCTTTTTTTTTCTAATTTTTATTCAAGATATAACAATCTAGTCTTTCTGACAGAAATCTAGAATATACGGCAAAATCGCAATAGAAATAGGGGGAAATTAATACGAAAAATCGACGTTGAAAACTGCAAAATAAAGGAGAAAAACAACATCACTCTATGACTTTGTAATGTTGATTCCGTTCGACAGATTTTTTTTATGGCAAATTCTATACTACGCAATCTGTGTCACAAATCTATACTGAATAAATTTTTCGTATAGAATTGTCAATTTAATTTTTTTTTCTAAGAGACTTTGTCATATAGAAAACGACGTGCACTGGGTATTTTGTATGCTTTTCTACTGATGTGAGTAGTAAATATGATAATAAAGAAGAGAAAAAAAAGAAATTTTCTTGTGTGTGATGAATCCGCGGCGGACTTATTTTTCTCTTCTATACACAACTACGCAGTATCGTATCGTATTCTCTTTCGTTCGCCACAGCATAAAGATAAATGTTTTACGTCGTAATCTTTTGAAGGAAGGAAAAGGTCATCGAGAGCATAATAATGACAACAGATTTTCTTTTCTCTTATTTTGTATCAGTCAGATGATTATTTTCAACCTATCGGCTAAATTGGTCGGAAAAAAATTGTTGTACAGAATTAATCGTTAGAATTTATAAAAATGACGTATATGCATATTCTATATGTCGAAACATTGGCCAATCAGCTTGAAACTGTTTTTTTCTTGAGGATTTATTTTATAATGCAATAATTTTAAAGGGTTTGAATTTTGCGTCTGTAATTCGTAAGTGAGGTGTTTTTATTGATTCTTTTACTATTTTAAGTAACTAACATACAAAAAAATTTAAAGAAATAATCGGATTAAAATCTATTTTTCTTAATCGTAAATGGCATAATTTTAAGCTTATTTTCTAAGATTAAAATCGATTATAATCTGATTGTTTCTATAGATGTTTTTACATGAACAAATCAATGAAATTTTATTTATTTGAAATTTTCTAGTAAATAGCCAAATCAAGTTAAATTTGCAAATCCTCCTCAAAGCTATCAGTTCTGCTCGCCGTTCTATGATGAATATATTTCTGACTTGTTGAAGACTCTTACTATCACTGCTGTTTAATAATCATTAGATAAAGAATTTTAGGTTATTTTTGAATGCACTGTTCATTGTCATCACCAAGCAGGATGGCAATCATCTTTTGGCAAAGACTAATATCTATAAACAAAAAAAGCTGATATTCCGATAGCCATGATTGCCAATGATTGTTTTGATTACAATCAGGAAATATCCTCGTGGAATTTATCTATTCAATAAATCATTGAAGGAACGGTTGTTATTTCCGTTCGGAATACGTGACGAGACAACGAAATAAAGAGCAGTGCAGATAATAACTATTGCCAGTTATAGAAACACAGAAAAAACTAAATAATATCTACTGACTCTTTTGATCAGATATGTCTTGGATTCGCTCTGGAATATATCCACCATAGTGGTGTTGTTCATTCATCTTTTAAAAAAAAACAAGAATATACCTTATACACCCTAGACAATCAAAAAGAAATATAAGCTTACGACTATTTCTGACTATCTTGGGCTTTTTACACACTATGGGAATTCAGAAGTTAATTAAAAATGCGATTGTTTCTTCCAATCAGCAACACAAATCACATTTTTTAATTCACTTTTTAATTCCCATGGATTGTACAAAGTCTTACTCCAAATCTCCTGACTCCTTAAATTTTTTTTCTGCCAAATATTAGAGTAGATAATTTGATCACTTTAAAAATATATTGACAATCACTTTAGATGGGTTTGGTCAATCGAACTCAGTTTTTTTTAGAATAATATGTTTGACTCCGATCATATATGCTGCCATGTTGAAACTACTCGTCAAGCGAGTACGCCCCGCCAGCATGAGTACACAAAAGACTCGCTGGAGTACTCGTTTCTGTGTTTCGACAAAACACCAATGCATTAACACGTAAAAAGTTAAATTACATTGTATAAAAACAAAATGTGATGAAATCAATTAAAAAAATATTAAAAAACTATTTTAATAGATGATTCATTTTTGTCCATACAGCGATTGGATATATCAAAGCAGCTACATTTCACTTTGTGAACAGAAAGACAGATAGTCACTTATCATTTTCAACTGCTCGTTTTTCGAATAAAACTATATATCTATTTTCAATGTAACAATAATTTGATAGCTTTTAATTTCTTAATTTCAGATTAAATTTCATTTCAGATTTGTTAAGGTTTTTTCTGGTTACTAAATAGCATCAATGATTCATGTCATGAAGTTTCTTTGTTTTGTATAAGGATCGCTTGAACATAAATTTGTTTTCATACACGAATCGAATCAAAAATTCATTCAATAATTTTAAAATTAATTGTCCATGCTACTGAGTATACTGTATCGTAACAAATTTTAGTATTCTTTTTTCTGTAGTTTTTTTGTATCTGTGAATTCATAATGATCAAATCTCTTTTTCGAAAACATTGAGAATTCATTAGTCTTCAATAATATTTTATTATCTTCAATATGTTTGTTAAGTATTGTTTTTTGAAACATAATATTTATTTGTGTAATTTATAGACAATAAAATAATGAAGTATCTTAGTATTATAAATTATTTCATTGCACTAAGATAATATTGTTGATAGGTTAACGAAATAGAATTCATTTAGTATTAAAATATAGTGAACAAAGTATAGATGAATGAGTAAATCTTGTAAAAAGCTACCAGAGTACTCGGAAGATACGTGGGTAATACTCATAGAAAACTCAGTTTTATGAGGCGAGTACTACTGATGAGTATTCAAACCCCACGAGTACTCATGAGTACTCGTGGCTTTTTCTAGCGTGAGTACTTTTTGAGTGCTACCCTATGAATACCTTCACTAGGGTGATAATACAGTTAAATATGGCATGGTCTGTCTGACATAGATTCAAAGTATACCAACTAACTAATAGTTACGTTGTTGGTGAATATGAAAGCGTGCTTCGGCTGATTCGGAATCATGACTCCCTAAATAGTACAATAGTTCTAGAATAGACTTTCATTTGAGCAACAACTAATGCATTTATACGGATAAAAATTGCATTGAAAATGATCATACGATAACTTTCTACTATTGAGTTTAAGTCAGTCTTTCATATATGACATTAGTTGAAAATTCTATTGCGCCATCTTTAGTTTTTATAAAACTATTATCCCCTGTCCGCACAAGCAATCAGTTTCATAACAGAAAGACTACTCTTTAATTTTAATTTCACAAACAAGATTCTGTTACAGGATTACGATCATAGATTTTTTCATTAGAGTAGTATATCGTAGTCGAAAAATACTTTATGCAAATCAAGTGGTTATCAATCTTTCGGAACAAACGCTGATAATTAGTCATTTGTTACAATCACAAGTCTTATATTTCTATTAAATTATTTTAGTTTCCTATGAAACTTTTTGTTGACTACATTGAAAAGTTCAACTATTTTTCGCATTTTGGAACTAACGTGTCAGACCAATAGTTGTAGAAAAATCAAATGTATATGGGATTTTCATACTTAAGAGCAAGATGAACCGTTATAGAATTGTTGGATTCAACATATAGTACTTCTTTCTTAAAGAAAATTCCTACTCGAGCAATCATTCATTAACTACATAAAAATATATGCATCATATAGCAGGCAGCAACATTTATGTGATCATTTATATTCACTATTTTTTAAGTATCATGTTCAAATGAGTAGTTTGAATGTGTATCACATGATCGATGAGTTCTTCTAAGCCTCATGATTCTGTCAGTTCTACTACTTTCTTTACATTGGTGACAAGAGTTCATGAAACAAGCATCTCTAATGTTATGTAATACTTGACTTCAAACATAACGACGCCCTCCAAAAATTGACACCTTTCATCAATGATGTATTATGATTCAAAATAATAGCTACTCTTCGACTTGAACAACTGAATAAAAATGACGTTTTACAAGAACTTTTGTAACGATTCGAGCAATCACTCTATCAAAATATTTTGCTTTCATAATAGAAATGAGGCAAAACTTATAGTAGCATTGAAATTATATTATATTACGAACGAATGTAAGAGCGATCTCCATGATATTGTTTATTTATTTTGCCTATTGTGTAAAGATTCTAGCTTCCTGAGCCAATGCACATCGATGGCATGATCAATGATTGTGAACAACATTCATAATTCCATTCAATTATTTTTCACATTCTAAAGTAATTCTATTTCTTGTTCATTGGCAAATCAAGAGCTCGTAGCTAATGAACACAATAAAAGACGGCCATTATGTTGCTAATTGTAAATCGCTGCACTGCTTGAGGCACCTAAAGTGGGATCTAAACGAAGAGGTACAACATTTAATAGAATATTTGCAAACGAGATCCATTTTGATGAATGCTCTTGGAATCAAGAATAGACTATTTCAATTGTCTAATTTACATATATCTGTTAGTCATTTTGTTCTTTTAACTATAGCAAGCATATAAATATCAAAAAATTATTTTCAAACGTCCTTATCTATATAAAATATTGCGAATGCACCGCACATGTATTCGACGAGAAAACAATATTCTAGTTTTTATTTTCCTAAGAACAAAAGAAATTTTGTGTATAAACGAAAAATGACTCTCCGTCTAATCTGCTTGTACCTGAAGTATTTACAGATTTTTTATGTTCATCCTGAATGATGGCAAAATTTTATTTTCTACTCTTATTCGACCATACCTCGACTGAAATTTATTGTGCAGTATCTGAGCAGCGGGGCCACTAACAGATCTCACGATTAAATCCAATCTAATTAGTTTATTACTAAATAGTAACTCATACCAATAGTAGGATACGATTACTAGATTGATTCTCGTGAAATGAACTTCAAATAGAAACAAATTGATTAACGAATCTACAATTATAGCTCTTGTTTTCACTACGTTGATCCGACGAAATCATTTGAAGTCGTTCAACAACAGCCGTTGTTAAAGATCTACAAGTTGAATCAAAATATTATAAAAAGTGTTGATTTTTCGTATACATGACACAAACTCGACACCAGATGATGATCCTTTAATGTATATAGCACCTGCTAAAGTTATTCCAAGCCAACCTGATGGTTTCCAACTACTTTACACGTAAACAGATACAATATCTTTCCATTGCTCTTTTGCATAAGTCAATTCAGCTTGACAGCTTTTGGAATCTTGATACGCCTGTGTGAGACAGTAAACAACAGCCCATGATTTTTCAACACCATCTGCCATGCTATGAAAAATTTAAACTAAGCATAGAAAATTTGGGTGCGGGTGTGGGTGAACTAAATAACTTCACCCACACCCACATGCATCTCTTTAATCCTTCCTAATTTTAAATTAGATGTAAATTCTTTAGAATTTGCTTCTGAATTAGAATACAAATAGTAAACCAAAAACCATTATTATTATTTGCGATTTGACAATCACCTCGAATAGATACAAAGTCAAAATTCATCTGATAAGATCCCGAAGAAGGTCAAATTCATTGATGGAAATCTCGACGCGCCGACACTTTCAATATTAAGATATACTTTAGTTATTTTTATTAGATTATATCAATCTAGTATTCAGATTAAAAACCTACCTGATGATGATTGTAAAAGCATTAACCGAAACAAGTCGTGTGGAGTTTAAAATCGCTAATACTTAAATAAATGCGTATCCTGCTCACACACACACACACATCGCTACTTATACTGTGGGATCATAGTGCAATTAGTCTTAGAGATGGAAAATCAGTCAGGTATCTACTGGACAATACATCGAAACCTAGTTTCCAGCCAAGCATATATTTATTTCTATCAAGCAATACGATCATCGTTCTTTTGCAATTCATCAAGCAGTGTCGACGATATATGGTTGACATATATGAGAACCAACTTGTGTAATGTCTAAGTGAGAAAATGTAGATGGTAACGAAACATAAATATAGAATACGCATCACCGAATTGTTGCGCAAAGCATTGGCTAAATGCTGCGCTCCCAGCTCTCCAATTTGATTCCAATGAATATCGAGTGTCATGAGTGTCTATGTGCAAAATTGCAGATGATATTGAGAGTAATTAGTACGAAATTATGCTTACTGTGTTGTTTTGTAAAACATTGGCGAGATGTTGTGCCCCTTGATCTCCAATTTGATTGAAATGAAGATCAAGTGTGGTGAGTGTCTGTGTAAAAAAGCTTTAGAGGATGATGGGTAGAATAAATTAGTGAGTTCTATTAACCGTGTTATTTGAGAGAGCATTGGCGAAATATTGCACCCCTTGCCCTTCGATTTGATTGCCCGTGAGATTGAGTGTAGTGAGTACCTGTAGGAAAATGTGTAGAGAATGATGGTAAAGATCAAGAGAGAATGAGATTCACTGAATTATTTGAGAGAGCATTGGCGAGATATTGTGACCCCTCATCACTGATTCTATTAGAAGCGAGGTGCATTTTAATTAGCCCCTAAGTAGAACGTGGAGATAGCAATGCAAGAGAGAAAACAAAGATAATCTTCATTGTGTTGTTTATTAAAGCAGTGGCAAGAACTTGTGCCCCTAGATGTCCGATTTCATTACTCCCAAGGTCGAGTGTGTTGAGTGTCTGTGTGAAAAATTCCTAATGATATTAGAAGAGAAATATGTTTACCGTGTTTGTGTGTAAAAAATTGGCGAGATGTTGTACTTCCGTAGTTCCAATTTGATTTGCACAAATATCAAGTTTGGTAAGTGTCTATGTGAAAAATTGCAGATGATATTGAGAGTAATTAGTAGAAAATTGTATTCACTGTGTTGTTTTGTAAAGCCTTGGCGAGATGTTGTGCTCCTACAGCTCCGATTTGATTTCCAGCAAGGTTTAGTGTGGCGAGTGTCTGTACGATGAAGAAAAGATGTTCATGAGAAAGATGCATAGTGAATGTATTCACCCTATTGCTTGAGAGAGCATTGGCGATATATTTTACTCCAAGCTCTGTAATTTGATTTCTAGCAAGCTCGAGTGTGATGAGCGTCTATAGGAAAAAGTTCAGATGATCATGAGACAGATAAGAAGAGACTGGGTTTCACCCTATTGTTGGAAAGAGCATTAGCGAGATATTGTGCTCCTTTGTTTTCAATTTGAGTTCGGTCAAGATTAAGTGTGGTGAGTGTCTGTGTGCAATATGTAGCCAGTAATGAGAATGATATGAGGAATGAGTAGGATTTACCGAGTTGTATGAGAGAGCATCGGCGAGATGTTCTATTCCTAGATCTCGAATTGGATTTTCATGAGGATTGAGCTCGGCTAGTGTCTGTGAAAAATGTAGATAGTAATGAGAGAAAGGAAAAGAGAAAGAAAATTTGTGACTCACTAAATTATTTTTGAGAACGTTGGCAAGATATTGTGTCCCGATAGGTCCGATTCTATTTATAGCAAGATTGACTGTGGTAAGAGTCTATGTGAACAATGAAGATGACAATGAGACAGATAAGTCGACAATGTAGTTCACCGTATTGTTCTCTAGAATACTAGCGAGATGTTGTATCCCAGCATTTCTCATTTGATTTGTAGACAAATCAAGTGCGGTGAGTGTCTATATGAAAAAGTGCAAATGATATTAAGAGTAATTAGTAGAGAATTGTGTTCACTGTATTGTTCTTTAAAGCATTGGTAAGATGTTGTGCCCCAACAGGTCCGATTAAATTTCTAGCGACGTCGAGTGTGATGAATTTCTATGTGAAAAATTCAAACTGTAATGGAATAGGTTATAAGAGAAAAACAATGTTCTAGGTTAGTTATTTTCGTACGCTACGATAAAATATCATCAAAAATTATCGTTCAATTATGAAAGTGAGCTAATCAATTTGTGTCTTTTATTGTCTCTTCTGGATAGAAATAAAAGAGCACTGCTCATGATAGTTGACTAAATTTGAATGAATTCTATTTTTGGTGTCACTTTGATATTGTGAAAGAAGAGTTTGCTGTGTCTTGAATCTTTTGAGTAGACGAATTCTATGCTATATAGTGAAACCTGACTTTGTGCACATCCCTCTTTAATGAACAGTTTGTTTATCTGAACCCTCTCGAAAATAATCGAGTGATTTTTGTAGAAAAAGAATCTCACCTGTTTAACTTTTCTACTATCTTTAGTCATGAAGAGCTCTATTGGTCTCTGCCTGCATTTAGACTTTTTTCATACAAGCACATCGGTTTCGTTAGATGAATCATATCAATTTATTAAAATGATTTAGGCGATGACGAAAATAAATAAATAAATAAATAAAGGGAATAATCAAGGAGCACCGTGGCTTAACACATTGATGAGCCGATGTACGGGCGCTTCAAGACCAGTAACTTTTTTATGTGTATGAAATATCTTATCATTAAAATAGATAATAGTGAAAAGAAACAGACAGAAAAATAGGCTTCTACCTGAAGGAAGCGCACATAGAAAAGATGACCGACTTCAAAAGTCTGGAATATCTCAGAGTACGATTCTATACGACACCTTCTATTTTAAAATTTTCCACGTTCATAGAGAAATATACAATGATTTTCAGTCGCATTCAGCTATATCGACGGAGCTTACTACTTCAAAGATAATTAATCTGAATGAGCTATTACAATGTAATGCAACTCCAGTGTTGACTATTAGTTTCACATTTTTTATAACTCTTAAATCGGATCGAGTTTTTGAAAAATCAATCTCAGATATGCACTTATCTTACTGTCAAGATTTGGGAAAATTTTTCTCATTTCAAAATGATGCTTGAATTCGAGCAACATCTGAACCATTTGAAGTATATCTAATGTTCTACAAGAAAATGATTTATCACCTCAAAGATTGAGAAGAAATTGGTTGGAGAGTGTGCATCGTACAGTCAGTCACCTTTCAATTGGCGAGACAAGTTCAATTTTACGGAATAGGGGATTCGAAATAAGGACAAGGAAACCAGTTTTCCAGCCGAACTCTATCATGGTTTTTTCGTTGCCAAACACGCCAATCTGTGGTCTTCCAAACAATTTCTGGTGAAAGTGATATGGTGAACACAACTATTGTTGATGAGTGGGAGTAATGGCAGCCTGATGTTATTGATGAAACCAGAGAAAATGATGAGGAAGTTGGGTTGCTTCGGAAAGCATTGCTGGGCTGAATCTAGAGGCATGTAAGTGAATCCGAACTTTTATTGCAACTCTGACTCAGTATTCAATTTTCGCGTTTGGGACCGAAGCAAATGGATGGCCCATAAATATTGAATCCTTTGGCATATAGACGATAGTTTGTTTGTTTTCTATCATCAAGGAGTGATTCTTTTTTTTCATAAAATTCCTTATTCAATTCTCTTCAAAACCATATTTGAAGCTTAACCATAAAAAGTTACACTGAAGAATCCATTCAAGAGAGTAGTGTCACATATCCAAGATTTTTGTAGAGAATTGAATCAGATATCTTTTGAAAAGAGAATCACGCCTTGATTACAGAAAATAAAGAAAGTATCATCTATGTACCAAACGTATCATCATTTATGGTTCACCCGTTATTGAAAAAAAAGTCGGATTCAAAAACATTTGACTCCGTAGATATCTGGAGAAACTTGATATGAGGAGTGAACCATTGAAGTAGGCTCTAATGAGGATACATATGTGATACTAAATAAACCTCTTTCGGTAATTTTTTCACGGTGCAAATTTCTTACTGGATTCATTCAAATATAAGAAGATTAATATATAAAAACCAAGCTGGATGAATATTTTCTTGGCAAAAGATAAAACTGTTAATTCATTCGTCAAATCGATTTTTTACATACCTCATCTGAAACGTTGTCAACCATTGTATTTAGAGATCGTTGAGTCAGACGACAAATATTGTCTCTCCATGATACCTCACATCTGACGCATCCTTGATAGCGAGTACTGTCGATGGGTATTGTATGAAGCCAGATCGCTCTCTCACGTGGAACATAGGCACAGGTCACAAACCAGTGTTTATCGTCGAGCCAGAAAGGTGCGCGAAATGATGCAATGAATGACTCAAGACTAACAAAACTATTGTTTCAGAAGTCGGTAAAAGCGAAGAAGAATTCGAATTTATTTAATTTGAGTAGCTTAGTGCAAATGAGTTGTTCCCAATAAGAATCGTTAAACATAGAGTCGAACCTTTCTCTATGAGAAATGAGTTTAAGATGATGAAGTGAAGGTATTGATGAAATTAGTAATTCAAAGTGCTGCGGAGCAAGTGAACAGTTTGTAATAGTTAGAGATTTCAATGAAGCAAGAACAATGGACGCAGATAATGTCAAACACGTCTGATTGTCATCTATGATGCAATTTTGAATAACTAGTGTTCGTAAATTCGGCAGATGACGGAGAATAAGAAGATAATCGCTGTAAGTACAGTTAGAAAACTCCAGATGTTCTAGTTTGTATTGATCTGACCACGATATATATTTCGCCATAAAATTCATATTACTGATACATAGCTTCCGAAGATTCCATCGAAGACTTGCTGATGAGACAAGATCCCATGTTCTGATATGCTCTTGCTCACTTGATTCGATCGAAAGCGAAGTCAACGAGCTTGTGCTTAAATTTTCTAAAAAATGTTCCAAATTGGTATCTTTGATTCGGTGGATAGTTAACGAACGGAGTCGAGTAAATCGAGCAATATCGAATAATGAATGAAATAAGTTGATTTTATCGTTTTCTTCACAATCATTGACTATAGTAATTGAAATCACATTCTCTGGCTGGATGAAACGAGAAATAGATCTCATTATCTTGACTGATTCTGAATTAAGAATCAGTACCAACCGATCGTAGGTGTTGATAAGAGCATAGAGCGTTTTGCAGACATGACGAACACAAGTAAGAAGTGTTTGGATATCGCAATAGTCCAATAAGCGATGAACTAATTCCGGAGGTAGGGTAATCAGAGACGTATTCTTCACTGAAACATCTATTGTAGTCGTTGGTCTCAGTTGTGTCATGTTCTACCATAAAAAGTAAGAAAGCTTCAATCGTAGTCTGTTTATTTCGTTGTATGAACGTGATAGCTTCACTAAAATATTAAAGCATTGTTGTTGGTGGGTGGGTCAATTAAGATATTCATTTCACTCAGTGATAAACACGGAAGTAGAGTTTAAAATCCTCAATGATAGAGCTGTGTTCAAAAAATAACTTCCACATGTTGTTATACAAATATTTCCTCAGTAAATAACTTTTTTTAAATGTTTCCTGTAGGATTTAATAGCTTATGACAAGTCCTATCGAGCATAATAATTTTTATTTTTACCTGATTACTTTTTTCGACAAATAGTTTATAGTATGAATCTCAATGGCTTTTAATTTTTCGGCTAAAATTGTTCAGAATTTATTAGTATTTTGGAGTTCATTCGTCCAATTACAAATAGTATTGTTAACAAAAAAATTCAAACCAAAGTATCTGTCTAAAAATTGTATGTATAAATCATACTCATTTATAATACGTTCTCAATACATTTTCTTTTACTTGATTTATTTAAAATGAACGCAATCAAACTTATGTATGATGAGTGCGTGTAGTATGCCTCTTGAAGATTTAACTTTATAAAGATGAATTAAAAAATTGTTTCTGATCACCAAAAAAGGGTTTGAAAAAAATATTAATTTTGCTTAAACGTTTTTTAAATACAATCGTATCAATTAGAATACCTCATACATTATTTTCTTACTTTACCTATTTTCTTGTTTAACTGTGTAGCTGAAAAATGCTTGTGATATTTGCCGACTAATTGCGATTAAATATTTTACACTGCGCAAAAAAATCTGAAATAGACATAAGGCAGGAAATGTAAGAGCGTGTGTAAAACATTTACATATAAGTTTGGCAAAAACGTGCTCGTATTTGAAGCTTGTTTCTACAGAAAAAACTTTTTTCTCGTTCTGTTTTCACTTGGTCAATCAAAAGTAGGGTGTCAATGTGTTTACAAGAGAATGAATCGAACCCCAAGTTATTTACGACAAGCATTTCGGTATTACTAAACAAAATGATTAAGTAAATGTTGAATCCAATTCTCCATATCGATTGATCTAATAGAAATTCATATATGAGACTAGCAGGAATAAGAGAACGAATCAGAGGGAGTTATTTTTGCAAAGAATATGACAGCTGATTGAATAGGCTACGTAGTTCATTGATGTTGTCACTCGTTGTGTGAAAATGTGTCTCTTTTGTTGACTACATGTAAAAAAATCAAATTAGAGAACTATAGAAGAAAGACAAACAATTATAATTTCGTTTTCAGAAGAAACCATAGAAATAAAGTCATCATACAAGGATTTTTATCTATTTTGAAATGAATGTTAGGTTTTTGTTAATTGACGGTTTTTCTTTGAGCGTAGCTACCGAGAACTTCAATGAAAGTCAAACACAGCACTGACTAATTGAGTTTTTTCAATTTCCTTATCGATAAAATAATACTCTCTGTACATGAGCAAGGGTCATCGATTTGGATTGAACTGAGAGTTTTAATCAAAGATAATATAAGTTTTCAAATGTGTTTGATATTAATTTATGGTGATAATTCAAAGTTTTATGTGAGTGTAAAGTGAGTAAACCCGGATCCAGATGTGATTACGACAGAAAATGTTCCCGAGCGTTCATATTGCAAACTGTTTATTTTCGTACATAAATGCTTTTCTAACTCGAATAGTTTGTCTCCATTTTGATGTTTTATTTCATTTTATAATCACAAATATATGTTGTGTTTAAATTCAAAACAAAGTTCATAACATTCATAGGAACAACTGTGTGGGGAGCTCTAAAAATTGCAGGTTGTGACGGATACAACGGAAATTATAGGCTTTTATAAAAATTGTTAGCAGTACAGTTTCTAAAAATGAGTAAAACAATATTTCATAATTTCGAGCTTTTTGCTTTTAAATTATCGATATCATTCCAAAGATTCTCAGGTAAAATAATAGAATAGCATACAACAATATAAATAAATTGTTTTTTTCTCCGATCAATCGCGCTTTCAAGAATCTCTATTAGGATTCCTCGGATAAAATGCAATAGGAACATGATAGTTCAGGGTACGCTTTTGATGCTTAATGCATCTTTTAAAATAGAAATTGAGGGTATGGATGATGCAGGCGTTGGTCTACATTATTTTCACACTCATACTCAAAATGGTCCGTCATTTGATAGACGCACTGTTAATCATACTCATTAAATCGTTCATTATCGATACGATGACACCATTTCACGATATGTGGCATTTGCTTTATTTACAGGAAAACATTACATGCTAAACCGTGTTCATAAATGTTAATAGTTTAGATGTAATCAAAGGCATTAATTAGTAAATGACTTGCAAATCTTCGTCAAGCCGAAGAATGGTCATGTTCAACCCACCCATAGGATAAATAATTAAGATATATTCACTGCGAAAAGCGTTAATGCCGGCCGATTTAACGTGTTTCGCAGCGTTTCCTATGGTAGCACACCCGTAAAAACAATTTCCCCATTTAGTCAAAATGCGTTTGGGAGCCACTATTTCTGGATGAAAACGAAAAGGTTATCATCTCGCGGCGCTTTTAACCGATTCAGCAGTTGCGAAACGCATTAAACCGGCCAGCATTAATAATAAGAATAATGGTGTTTTATTAATAAAGATGGTAACTGTCGATGAAGATAATAAACAACAGCTGAACTGATTAGAGAGAGAGAGAGAAAGGATAACAAGGCGGTCAATGACCGACAGATCAAAGAGGATTAATATGATTGATATATCACAGTGACAAGTTTAGTGTCAATGAGCATCATCTATTGATGCAAACGCCAGTACTCTCCAGCTTTGATTTTGGCAAACATGATGCAACTGTGGAAACGATAAAAGATCGCCATAGGTATAAAAAGAGGCGCCAAATAATCCCACCCTCCATCATAGATATGTGTTTGAATTTCATTCGTTTTATATGCTTTAGCACTGAATGTATCAAATAGCCATATCGAAAAACTTAATATAATCCACATGTTATTAATTCCACCAGTTAGCTTTCCATTGAATTGACGAGCCTTCCAAATGACTATTAGTTGAAGTGCCGTTTGAATAATTGGTATAACTGAAGCAGTCAACGTCAACCATCGTATATATTGAGTCAATTTATCCTCCGGATGCGATAGGACTGAACCAAAAAACGTAATACCGCAATAAATGTCCAATAAAATATTAGCGATGAGTAAAAACGAAAAATCAATTTTGAATTTAATATTCAATGTTCCAACAGTTCCAACAGTTCCAACAGTTCCAACAGTTCCAACAGTTTCAATTTGTTTTAGATTATTTTCTTTTTTGCACAATTTCTGCAATGAAAAGATCGAATGTACAGAAATAATGAGTGCAAGTATGACTTCACAGATTTCACTAATCAGCGTTATCAGATTACTGTTGTTACCACTGATTGTAGTAACCCGATGACCACTATTATCTATATTGAACTCTTGAAACAAAATAATAACTATTGAGAGACTGACTAGAAAAATTCCGAGAGCAGGAAGAAAAATTTCGGTAACCGCAAGTAAAATCATTGGAGGTAATCTGCCACCCTTTTCTTTCACGAAACAACAGAAAACAAATGGCAACAACATCTTCAAGCATTTATAGACCCATTGCAATATTATCTTTAAGCATTCGTAGATCCAATGCAATGTTGTCTTACAAATACAGTCCAGACAAGATGCTATCCACTTTAACGAATTGTAAAATTTTAACAGACAATTTTCATTCTCGTCTTGAAAACATTCCGACATTATTAACAATTCAATGAAGCAAGCAAATCGAAATTCCAAACCCAATGGATATAAATATTGTGTGATTTTGTCAAATGCTTTCACATCCTGACTCGCACTTGAAATACATGAGTCAGGTTTATTTTTGTGATGATGAACTTCTTGGAGAAGTATTCCTAGCCACTGAGTTAAACAATATATTGCTAAATACTTTTGAAAACTTTTCGACGCCGGAAGCTTCAATTTGGTCGAATCCTCATGGTTAGGATGATAGAGGATGTACATTAATATGCATAATTAGCATAAGCTTTTCAGCAAATTTTCTGTCATTGATACAATGATATTGGCCACACAGGACGAATCCGATGTATGATTTTGGTTTATAATGTAAATGAGCTGATCGCCAGATCTTGTCATAATAAATAACGAATCACCAACTCCAAGAGTAAAAAGAAATGTAATTCCGATGGTTAAATGTGTCGACCCTGAAAAAAGGTACCATACAGAAAGATTTTGTTTCAAAAATAGAAACCCTCAAAAAGGTATCGTAGAAATCAAAGACATCTTCAAAATGATTATTACCGAGTCAGCAATATTTTTCAAAGATATCGATAGGTTTTCTACGAAATCAAGCAGTTTTTCGGATTTCCTGAAAAAAAATCGGAACCTTTTATTGTTTTGTCCCATGTCGCACAAATCGGTCGAAAACCACCGGTTAACCGCGGTTAACAGATTTTTCTCGATCGGTTTGTGCGACATGGAGCATAATATAAGAAACTTTTTTCCCGTTCACGAGGCCCTTTATACGGGTATGACAATTCAGTTTTAGTTCCAACCAAAATAACTATTCGAGTAGATCTGATCAGACCCTAAGAACTGTTAAATCCTTACCCTTTCTGATTTCACATAATATCTTATAAAAGTATCCGCGAAAGCTCGATAAATTATTAACGCAGGAGATATTGAAGATATTAATGTGTGAATGTCACGCAAGATGATCACAGTGCATCTCCACATATTTCACCTTACAAAAAGTTTCTTCCTGTATGCTCGTAGGAAGAAATGTTTTTGCTTTCATACTCTTGGCTGAACCCTTTTAAGTTCGGTATATTAGTGATTCTAATTTCCATGGATAGATCGATCCTTATAATTTCGTTTTCCTTGTTCTATTGTGTTGGTTTTTGATGTGGCGTCTTATGGTAGTTGACATAGTATTTATTCTGGTACAAAACTCAACCAATTGGTCAGCTACGTCTCATTTCCTTTACTTACCTTTTCTATTCTTTTTGTAGAACTCACATAGCGTCAAAGAAAATTGTGAGCGTAAGTTTCAAAGCTAGATTTTTTGCAGTTTCCCTCTCCTCCATTACAGACATTCATGAATTAAAAATTGTGCTACTCAGAAGCTACACTAACTAGACTGTTATTTGTTCTTTTCTCGATTACAGACTAAAAAAAGAGCAAGGTCTACCTGTTAAGGTGTAGTTTTACTTCTTTATTAGCAGGTTCGGTAACATACACTTTAACAATAATAATACCAGCACTGAACCCATAACAGGGACAGATATACTCGTATTCAATTATCTCCAATGAGATAAAGGATACATAATAATGTGTGGAGGACAATAAGGGAAAGAAAGATAGCGCTATCGGAGTAGATGATGCTAATGATCTGTGTGTGCATAACACAGATCATAACATTACCCATCACAGACCATAACAGTTAGGCTAGGCTACCATTACAGACTATAGTGGTAGCATTACTGATCTTAATAACTAGTCTCTGTCCTTCTTAAAAATACTAGCTAACAATATACCCTCCATTACAGACACAAGCAGACAGGTAATGACCTAATTATAGATTTTCAATGGAGTTATTTTGAATTATTTTAGTAAGCCTATGCAGCGGCGTAACCAGGATTTTTATTGATGGCTCAAATATTGTTTGGTCTAACAAAGTACTCTGAACGTAAAAAAACACAAAAATCTGACATGAGGACCTTGCAATGAATTTCATATTATTTTTCGACATGAGAGTTCGGCGACATGCACTTAGTCTACCGATACGTTGTTTACAAGAAAATTTGTCAAATTGATTTCGTCGATTTCTTTTTGTCGAAAGTTCGTTAATCGGCATGTTTTATAGACAGATAAATTAGCCAACGACGTATTTTCTATCTGCATCATGAATTTCTAGGTTTTGGCAATAAAACAGCGTCCACAGCTCTTATTTTTCACCTAGTCAATCAAAAAGTATTTCCTTCCAAAATGTAATGACCGTAGTACCAACGAAGTTTTCATTACCCAGGTCGAAAAGTACGGGTTGGTTCCCACACAGAAGCGCCTGAAATTACCGGAACATGGAATTAGTATTCCAATCGGAAAATTTTCGTACTCTTTTCCGGCCGGAATACTGCTTCTATGGTTCGGTGTTTTCCTGAAGGATACGGCGATTCTACTGCGTCTTTTCTGCAATATCTGGTGGTCGGTACGGTCGATCTGGGTAGCTCGAATTTGGCACGCTTCAGCGTGGATTTCGATGAAATATATATCCGAACTCGTATCTAAAACCTCTTGATTTTGGTTGCGAAGGGGAAATGAATTGAATTAAAAACAGAACGCCTCAATCCTTCTGCGTGCTAGCTTTTTTCTCTTATTTCTCACTATGTATATTTCGATAAGTATACTATTTTTTTTTTCTATTTTCTCTTTTGTCTTGTTGCTTATGTAGGGGCACAATAAATCCAAACCCTTGAGATTTAGTATTACTCAATTTAGCTTGTTGACGGCTTAGGATAAGGGTTCCACGAAAAATATAATGTATCCCGTTTTAATTTTAGATCTTCCAAGTTACCCCCCTATTTCCATTAGATACCTTTAGTTCCTATAATGAAACGGCTAAATTAGCTAAAAGTGCTAATGGAGTTAACGGAAATAAAGGTATCGAAATGACATATGTATACTAAATATTATCAGACATAAGCAAAATATGCAAGCATAAAAGCACGACGGGATAAAATTATCTTTTCGTGAACCTATGAACAATTCTGAAAAAGTAAAATTTTAATGGGCAAAAGTTTACTAATAAAAATTACAATGGGCAAGTCTCAAAATGAAATGGACAATTGCCCATTTGCCACCCCCTGGTTACGCCGCTGAGCCTATGGGATATATGTGAGTTCCATAGTTTAGCCCCAAAGTGGCTGGGCTAACAAGCTGCTTTTGTCTATATCTCTTATCGTTTCTACACTTTTTGTATGTCTCCAGTCAACTTTATCTTGATATCTCCTGTATCTTCTATTTGCCCTACGTTGATGTTTAATTGAGTTTTCGCGGAAACTTTGAAAAAACATCCAATCTATGGTTTCTTATGGTACCTTCTGCTGTTATAGTTTCTGGATCATCAGGAAATATATTCGTAAATATACCAACTCCTATTACTATGTAGGTGATCATTAGTAGACAATCAGCAATCAGGCCGTTATCGTCGAAACTCGTTGAACTTGAACCAAATAATGCCAATCCAATGAAAATTACTGATAATAGAGGCAGGACAACCAAGAAAAAAATCCAGAAGCAGCCTATGAGCTTGTCTCTATACTCCTTGTCAGATTGATAATTATTATCATTAGAATAATGACGAGGTATGCGTTCAGATCCCTCAAAGCTAGCCATTTGTTTTCTAAAAGAAATGTATGATATTCAATCTTAATTGTATAACCTTCCGGATCTAGAAAACTGCAGATCAACGTCGTTTGATGCTTAAAAGATGTTATATTACATCACTGTATAGTCTGTTCGGTGTATTCTCAATTTCGTTTTGATCGAAAATTAGAAAATATCTTTTCTGACTCGTCAGATACAAAAAAAAACAAGATGACAGAATAATTCGCAATAATATTTCCATACCAATATTTCTCTGAATTTATGTTGCCTATGAAGTTAAAGATTCGAGAAGATAAGAAAAACATCTTGGCGAGACACTCAGATGTTTCAAAACATTGATAAAAAGATTCGCTGTATCGACAATGTCGCCGAAAATGTTTTTTTTTGATAATGAGTGAAAATCTTGGCTGTCTTCGCAAGTGGATAAACCACTGTCTGAATCATAAACTGCAATCAGACGCAGGAAATATTTTGATGGAGACACGTTTTGAGACAGGATTGCATTTTGAACGTGATCGCAATTAGAAATTCCAAAACATGATTGTGTAGGAAATATTAAAAAGGCTTTTTTTCAAAACAAAACAAGTTGAAAGTCTATTTTTAGTGAATATGTTTGAAAACAAATATATACATATACACGATGAATTGATTCAAGTGCTTAAAATAGATTATTATGTGGGGATATTCCAGACAAGAAAATTTAATGCGGAAAAGAACAAATTATAACAAAATAATGTATGCGCTTCATTTATTAACAAAAATGCTAACTTTTATCTTCATAAAAATAAGATAAAATAGAAACATAAGAAAAAAATATACGAAAACGGGATCGAAATTTTTTATTCAATTAGAAATACATCAATTACGAATAGGAAAAGTGTTTTACTTAACATTGGTATTTGAGTCCACTGTAGTATTCTTACTGTTTATCAAATGCAGATTTTCTTTTCCGTTGAATGTCAATCATGTCCTCTGTAACTTTCAATGGTTGCTCATTGATAACCTTAGTTCTATTAATATCGCCACCAATCAATATAGCGTTCAAAACGATTTTTTAGTGAAATTTCTTAACCTTTTTCAGATATATATTGGAATTATAGGATGACTACAAAGTCTGATTGAGAGTTTGCCTCTTTTGTCAATTCTCAAAAATTGTTTAATATCGTAAGTCTTAGGAAATCGCTAATGAATTGGCCATGTCTCATCTCTATTTATAGTAACTAAATGATATCATTAGTCATTCTCGTTTAATTTATCTCAAATAATCATAAGAATTTTCGATGGATTTAACTTATGAAAAAAGAATGCTGCTAAATTGATAGCTCATTTAAGAAAAAACACATTTAAATGATATAAATCCTGAACAATATTGGAATTATTATGACAAAGAAGAATTTAGTACATGCATAATATTTTATTATTCATGCATAAACAAGATCAACAACAACAACAATAAATAAAAATAACGAAACAAACTGCTACTTCCTTCTATCACAGTAATACAAAAATAATTCACATTTACTATATATCTATACAGTTGCTGTTGAACTGTTCTGTTGCATTTGAAGTGCTGGTCGACGGGTAAAATAATTCTGATCGCCTTCGAAACGTCGAACTTCGGCTACTTTTTCTTGTATTGATGTATACATATCATACGGTGCTGGATCCGTTTTATCGTTTTGACGTGGACTCGGAAAAAAATAAAACGAAAGCGCAGTTACCATTGCTGATTGATCATAACGATGTATAATTCTCGTACCACTCACACGTTTACATTGACTTTTTGATTTCGACGGTGCTATACAATTCGAATCTAGTGCACATGTTACCCATGTTTTAAGTATAAGACGTGATAGAAAATTATCGGTCACAGCTAGAAAACCTGCTTCAGCAATATAAATATCATTAAATGTGGAAAATGTTTCATTAAACCACGAAAAAGTTCGGGTTAATGTGAAACATGGTAAATAATGTCCAGGCAATTCACGACATGAAAAACCACGAATTAAATTATCAACCAATAAACGATCGAAATTTGATGTTTTATAACGAATGGATGTATCACCATAAATAATAGAACCAAATCGTTGTATAGCATCCTAAAAATAAGATTTGTTATGGTTAATTTGTACGTATTAGAAAATTGGAACGGTCGAACCTGAATTACGATTGGTTTCCAAGCAAAATTGCCTATAGTTCGAATATGTCCAGCAACAGGTTCAATTTGAGCAAATGGAAATGGAATGATGATGCATCGGTCACAATTCGCTTTGATCTAGAATAAATTAAAAATTCTATAGTTTTTATTGGCATCACTCAAATCGGCGCTTGCACTATATCAACCTTTTGATACATCTGAAGGGATAAACTGAAAGTGAACCTTAATGACTTTTGAGTGCGCTACGAATTGCTTCCATGTGATGGACGAAGGGCCATTGAAAGAAAAAAAATGTCCCTTCAATATGTCAGCATAGCTCAAAGAACAGAAACAATATGAGTTAAACAGCTGAAATCTGATATCATAATGAGTAGCATATGAAAACAAAATGGTCACAATCGATGAACGGGATAAGGGTTATTAATCAAATATAGTTGCAAGTTACTTACACATATTTTGATCTGATAAAATATTTCTCTAGAGCTTCGGTTTATTTTTTATAATAAATTCTATGACACGGATTCAGTCAGTTGCAATAAAAAGATCAATTTCACTTTTCTTTTTTTTTATAACTAACCATACTTAATTGATTTGGATTAAATTGAAGATCATAAATAGCAATGGTGTGATTTTGTAAATGTTCGTTAATAGTACGCATTGATGCTTGTAATGTATCGTAAAATTGAGCATTGGCAGCAAGAATGATAACTGGTTTTTGGATTTTATCTTTTGAAATTTTATTCCAAGCTGAATGTTGATTTTTGAAACCGTCCGATAAATAAATCGAAACTTGTCGTAAATAATCAATGAAACTTGGTTTTATATCAATATGGCCATCGTCAGATATATTCATATATTGTTGAAAACGACATAAAATATTTTCTAATCGTTCGGTGTTATTAGCCAATGGACGCAATGTATTACGGAAATCACTAAAACGAAATATTCCTAAATAATTAAATATTTGCCGATATCGATCCTCGTGAGAAATAAGAATTCGAAAAAGTTTGTTCAATCGTTGGATAGTGGGTTGCGGTCGACTATCATTATTATTTAATGGAGTAGAACGAAATAATGATTTGCTTTCACGCGAATTACATTTATTCAAAAGTGTAAAATTAATAGTAATTATTTCTTCCTCGATAATAATTTCTGATCTCGTAATTATCATTTGAACCGTAGGAGTATAATTGACAATACGTAAATATGTTAAAACAATAAAAACAATAAATATGGTTAAGGAATATTGCAGTTTGAAATATTTTTGTAAACGTATAATGAACAAAAGCCACGTTGTTGGCTGTTGCCCGACACTAGCAGCCGGGCGTTTCATTGCAAGCTATCGATTGATATACATTACTTATTCGCACAGCTAAAGAATAAATTCAAATGAGACAACATACTAAATTGAAAAAGCAACAGTGAACACAATAGAGTCTAGGCGAGAAAAAAATGAAACGAAAGAAAGAAAGAACATTTTCGTCTCTTGTACATACCGACTACCGCTGGTGACACTTACATCTTTCGGTTCAATGACGGAGAGATTGTTTTCTCAGTCAGCTCTTTCAATGTCAAAATCAAAACATACTTGTCGATGAAATTCAATCTTTCGCTGAAAACGAGTTCTGTATTGTTGAGAGAAAAAAAGAAATGTCTGCATAAACTCATTGCTATAATAAGCGTATGATTTTAAATAGAATAGACGTTGATATATATACTCTACATCGTTGACTAACTATCAATTAGTTGTATTCTAGAGAGAGAGAAAAATGATGCGATGCATTTCGGGTACTAAACTTATAACGTCGAGTCACGAGAGTAGGATAGAACGGACTTATCGTCATGCAATATTTCTTTATACGACGCATACACTCAAGTGTAAATTTCTTCCTCAGAAAGTTGGCTATGCAATTTCTGCTTCGAAGCTTTTAATTTTTTTTCCGGTCAAAATCGCGTATACATCATTCACTTGCGTCGAGTGAAGAGAAAAATCTCACTCATCAAACGACCGCGAGTCATTTATGTCGCGCAGGGATTAACAATGTTCAACTAAATTCATTCTCGCCTATATGTAAATAATGTTCGAAAGAAATACGAAGATAATTACATGTAAGAATTACTAAACTATACAGCTGCACTTATGAAAAAGAAAAAAGAAAAGAAGTTTAGTCACTACCATTTGAAAAATAAAGGACACAGATAAAGCGATTTATTTCTTAACTTCCTCTCTCAGTGGCTTAATAGAAGAGACAAAAAAAAAACTGTATCATATAAAATAAGACTCGATCCCTTGTGGGCGAATATTCTGAACACTTCGTTGGTTACTTAATGCAGTTATAGCCTACGCGATAACTTTCTTTCATCGTTTCGAATTGATTGACGAAAGAAAACGATGCATAAGTAATCAATTTCTTTTGCTCAATAGGCTTCTGATGTTGAACGAGGGAAAGCGGATGGATCAGTGAACGGTTTTTATCGTTCTTGGAAGCCGCACTCTTGCGATAGTCAATATTTTTTTATGTTTCGCTTGCATGCAGTAATGCACTAAAGACGACGACTACTGGATTATTAAGAAGAACACATAGCAGAAGCAGTTTCAAGTCTATCAACTTGATAAAGGAGTGATGAGTTGATGTTGTGCGAAGAAAAACCTTCGTGTCGTCTTTTTTTTCTTTTCTTTCTTCTTCCTTTTTATCATATCTTTTTTTCTTGTGTTCTTCGTGCTAGTCTTTTATTCAGAAATAACTGAACTTCTTCTAGTCTCTATCTCGAGCTTATCATTTCAGTGGTGAGTAGGAAAAAAAAAAGAATATTCAACAACTCCTGTTTCACATTACCATGCTTTCTGTCCTTGACACTTTAATTATCATCTAAACTCTATGCATGCGTATCAAATAGAGACTATACGATCAACATTCTTTCATGTCTATTATAAAACTACTTACCATAGATCAAAAGAAAAGAGAGACAAAAATAGGAGCATCATGTTCTACTTGTAAAATCTACGCGAGCAAGTGAACATGATACCGCTCTAATAATACTAATCGTAATCGATTCATTTCGCTGGTAAAATAACTCAAACCTACAAAGCAAATACTACTTTTCTTCATTGAACACATTCTCATCAGTATAGGTCGCGATACTTACAACAACTACTAAAGGACGAAAAAAAAATTCTCTCATGTGACACACGCTGGCCATTGTTGTGCGCATATTAATAGCTCGTAGACACAATCAAGCGCACTCTTAATATACGCGTCAAACAACGAAATAGAATTTTTGTCTATACACTCTCATTAAAAACACATATTCAGTTTTGCTTGTAAATTGAGACAATCAAATTATTCATAGTGGTCGTATCCCTACGTCGACAAAAGTTAGCATTTTCTCAATGTAGATTACATTCACCTTAGCAGTAAGAGAACTTTCTAAGGATTATAGATGATTGCATTTTTGATTTATCGAAGGTTAAATATAGGCTCATTTTATATGAGGAAATCTCTTCGGTATAAGCAAACAATTGAATTGATCTTGACAACAGATGAATAGAAGTTCATGTTGATATTACGAAGATTAAAGGTCTTTTTATTGTTCTGTTTTATACGATAGTAAAAAATGTTCAACGAATTGACATGTGAACTTTTCAATTTTCTCTAATTATATGAAATTTCGCATAATTATAGTCATCAAGTCTACAGCAAAAACACAATGAAACATTTAACTATCACTATCGATTTTTCTCTCATCGTTTACAATGAAGCTATATGCATAACAAGGCATTAGTTATGTCATTTATGAGTAGTCTTGAGAGCAAACAAGAATTACTTTGAAATGAATAATAAATTATGTGCATTATTACACAATTTTTGTTCATTCGAGAAGAAATGCTCAATATAATTTTTTCGTCGTTGAAGTAAAAATTTCTACTTCGTCCGCTGGCGTGTCATTTTTTTGTTCATGCGTCATTGACTTCAATCAATCTACCGACACACTTTCTCGTTTGACTATTTTATCGAATTCGAACATATATATATATATCTTTTTTTTAATTTTTGCAACATTCAAAAGTGCAGATGCAAAGCTGGTATTTTTACTAAACTTCGTATCATAATAAGCTAACAAATAGAAGTATGAAAACTATTCTATTCAACAGATCCCGATGTAGGATATTGTTTTAAGAGTTTATTCGAAAGCCACGCTGGTTGACGATTTTTTGCAAATTGTTTCACAACTTTATCATCATCTCCGCTGCCTTTGAGATTTGCTTTTTCGACAGCATTTGTTTCCTATGACGAAAAAAAAACTCACATACTATCAAATTTTTAAAGAAATAAAACTTTCAAATACCTGAAATTCTTTGACACATCCATAAAAATCAGTGACTTCTTTTTCACAGACAAAATTATCATACTCATTTTTTTGCAAACAAGTTAACATCTAAATAATCTAATGGTTAAAAAATTTTATTCAATGTTTTACTTACAATATTCATTAATGGACCGCATGTATATTCTAAAGAAAAAATAAAGCTATTAGTAAGATCTCTATCGCATTAACGAGAGGCTCGACCAAGAATCTCTTTGCAGGAGTTCTACTAGCATTTTAGAAAATTTCTCATCTCGGATCTCAATGCAACAGCTTATTTAGTTTTTTTGCGTGAAGAAAATTTCCTCTCTGTTGATACTAAATGCTTGTGCGATTCATTTTGATTTAGCAAAAAAATATACCTGATGCACTTGTTCCGCCGCCTCGAACATAATCTCGTAGTCGTGCGGGTAACGCTTGACGAAATTGGAATTGATTTAAACGATAGTTAGGTGCGAGAATAACTCTAAATAGAAGAAATCATTCAAGCTTATTATTTTTTGTTTGAAAACGTTAATTTCATTACCGAGGTCCAGATTTCGGTGGTTTAAATTTTAGAAAACGTAACTGTGAGTCAAATTTACCCATCTAGAATATATGCAAACAAACTTTAATCATTTTTTTCCGATACAGAAGGTAAATTAAAAAGCCAATCGCTTGGTGTATGAGCACCATGTTCCGTTGGCCAAGAATTATCTTTGGGGTAATATCGAAAACGTCTACACGTTGAACAAGTCACAATAATACTTGTCTTGCGTTTATCTTAAAACAGAATAAATACATTCAAATCATTTTTTACACAGGATTAAACTTACTAAAACGAACACTGGCCGTCAATGGTGGCAATAAAACCATATTACAACACGAGCACAACAATCGTTTCATCTCAGGATGTCTAAAACAAACATAAAATAAATTCATTCATCAATAGAGCTCTGCGAATCTAGGATCTCTAGAAAAACCAAAACTACTTTTTCAACTTCAACAAGAAAATTTCCCCATTAGTCGATGAACTAGCAGCAGTGACTTTTGCGCTCCGAATATTTCTTACAATCGAATCTGTTTCTTTTGAGCATGCGCACGCATTTGTTTAACAAGATGTCGTACCAAATTCAAATCCGCAGTTGTCAATAGAACAGTATGTGCACACTGATAAAAACAAAAACCGGTCATCCTTCGTTAAGAATCAAGTCTTCTTGTCTCATCTCACTTGAAATAAATACGAAAGATGATTAGCAGCATTTACATTTGTTGGTGATGTTAAAAAACCTGTACGATTTTTCTTCGATTTATGATCTATTGCAGCCATCTGTAAAAGAAAATAGAATATGATCAAGAATTCTCCGTTTCCTTTTCTTTAATGAATACGATAATGTTAAGAGAGAAACAAAAGAAACAATAGATGCTCTATTTGAATAAAACGATATAGCCCATAAACAAAAAATAGTAAAACAAAACCAGAAGAGAGTTGTTAAAGATTGTACACACGCACAAGAAGATTGACATGTATTGAGAGGAAAATTTCTACTTTACCTAGAGAAAGAAAGCTTGGCATTTTTCTTTTTTCGTTGTTTTTATTCATGTCTAAGATAAGCATACAACACAATAAAGAAGTAAACAGGCACAAAAACAAGAAGTGAATGTATATGTTGTGAAATCTTAGCATAGAAAAAAGAAAACATCAAGGAATTTGATCATAGAAACAACAGAACCACTATGTTTGGCTAAGTTTTCGTGTTTTTTTTTTCTTAATGATGCGTAATAACAATATTGTTGATAAACAAAAGAAAGAAAAAGAGAAAAGAAACAAAGCAAATAACCAATGGAATATAATAAGAAATAAAGTTCAACGAGGATTTATCGTCATGTTTAGTCGAGATTTATGCAGGTAATGATAGTTTTTTTCCTTTCAAAACTAAAAAACAAATCGTCTTCGGAATGATTGCAAAAAAATTTTCTTTTACCTCTTGTTATATAAAGATAGAAGAAATCACAATAGAGAACTGTTTGAACAACACCAGATAAGATTGAAATCCAATCAATAAAATGTTCCGTATGGTAACGATAAGCCCAATTAAGAATATAGAAAAATCGATAAATACCCAATGCAAATAAATAATGACTTGTAATGGTTTCGGCTTCGCCCGTTTTGCTAACCATAAATAATTGAGGGAGTATAGCAACGGATTCAAGATAAATTGAGAATGTCCAAAGAACCTAAGTTTGAATTTGAACTTTTTCATTATTAAAACAAAAAACAACTTACTTCTAATACGGAAAATTCATGATTCCATAATAAAGCAAGTGCAGCGGAGGGTAACAATAAAAATTCAATACGAAATGTATCATGATTACGATCGAATGTCGCTTTGAATTTACGATAAATCAAAAACAGCGTAAAAAATGTAGAACCAAGATAAACTATCTTCATAATCGAATTGTATAAACTAATAAAATGAGTAAATAAATCAAGATAACGACACATAAATACTATAGCATAGAGAATGACACTCTTGCCAGATAGACCTAAATTAGAGAATAAATAGGTTTTTATTTTTATTTTGAATAGATCAATCAAATTTAACGTTACCAGCACATGAACGTGTCTTCCATACTTTAAGTAGTAAAATAATAATAGCACATAAATGGGAAAAATCCCCAAATAGACGAAAGATATTCATCTTAAATAGGACAATTATAGTTTTTATTTAATATTGGCGCGCTTATCTAAAACAGTTTAGAGTGAAGAAACATCAGATGTTGAAGGCAATTTAGTACGGAATCGGTAAACATAATCAGACAAACGTATTGGTAAGAGTACGTGGCCTAGAAAACGAATTTATGACACCAATCAAAACTCTTTATCATAGTTGGCGTTTTAAACTCATATGAAATGTTCAATATTGAATAGATTTTTACTTATTCGATAAATTTAACAATGTTTTAAAGTTAATACAATAATAGTTTGCTTTTTTGAAATCTAGATGTCAGTATCAGTCAAAATAGACGATGCCTGTTGTTCATACTTCTTGTTGCTATGAGACAAAATTCTCCGAATTTATCATAAAAAAATCTATTGTTTTGACAATCATTTAATGTCAATACATTAGAGGCGAAGTTTATCAATGTGAAAATATTCTCACAGGCGACAGTTGTTTTGCACAGATAACCAATAATTTGATTTCGCGTATAGCGCTGAATAATGGATGTGTTAAAAGAATCTACCGAATTCATTTTTTGAAGTTGTTTGTTGCTGGGGCGCGATTGTACTCTATGAACTTTGGCCCCGATTACATAAATCTGCAGTGAATGTATCAAGAAGTAATTGAACATTGACATTCAGCTGTAATCGCTTTTCAATAACAGTCCTATTATGAGACTTTTCATGAAACGTATGGTAAAGCAAAAACTAAATATTCATTTAAGAAAAGGCAAAATGCTCCGTATCGATGTAGATAATTTTGTTTTTGTCTGTTTTCTTTTTTGATGCAACGAGAAAATAGCCCCGAGTAATCATACATAATGAACGCACATCAGCAAAAAATAAACTGGAAAAAAGAACAAAATAATAAATATCTCAAGAAATCTTCGTTTCTTTTAATACGCAGATCATGTGAAAATACACAAACACAAAAGAAAAAAACGAGGGAAACTTAACAGCTGCAAATAAATAAAAGTAGACTTTCCTAATTGTATAGATGAGCGATATCACCAAGCTGATGCTTCAGCTCGGCCATTTTCTTTAAATGTTCTATTATTATCCATTGATTGATCGTCATCTGTATTATTGAAATGGTGAACAGGTCGATTTGGATTGTGAGATAGATTATCATTTTCTAATTCATCTTGCTCTTCGTTCGTTATTTCGGCATGATGATGATGATGTTCGTCAAATAAATCAAGATCCGGCATGGGAAACCGTAGAATGGCAGCTATGCCTGTCAATTGACTTAATCGTTCACCTGATGCATGCATACTGGAGAAGGAAATCAATCGAATATAATGAAAAAAAAAGCAAATTCTGAAGACGTTACCTAGAAAACAATCGAACTGTACCACCACTTTCTTTAACTGAATCAACAAGTTGAACAAAGCGCCGTCGTTTGGTAAAATCAATATTTCGAAAAAGTTCATCGGTAATCAAAAGATCTAAAATACGATTTTTTTTAATCATTTAGATTTTTCATTTTTTCTTTTACATTCAATGGCTTGTGATTGATTTGCTTTTTCTACAACTTCTAAACCATAATACGCTTTGTCTGGTTCGTCATTTAATAGACGCATAAATTGATCGAGTAATTTCATTTCCTCGGCTGCTTTCGTATCCGATAGACGATTTAATACTAATGGGTCTTGTAGAATTTCGGTTAGTGCATGTTTAAAACCGTTACTTGAATGTAATAGAAGAAATTTACTTCGATTTTCCAGTAAACGTCTTTCATCGTCGCGCGCGGCTTTGTTTAGCATATATTCAAAAAATTGATCTTTAATAAAACCCGGACTAGCGATAATAACCGCTTTAATTAATGAGAAATCAATATGTTTGATAATTGCAGCTATGATTGTATCAAAAAATTTTTCCATTCCTCGATCATGTTGAGCACAAAGACCTTTTCGTTTACGCGGAATTGTGTGTTCGATTTTTTGGCGATGTATAGTTAAATGTTCTGTTATTAGACATACATTCGCTAAGCCTTCATGCATAACAACAGCAGCGACATCGGCTTGATGTGCCGGATTGCAAGCCATTTCTACACGATCCATTGCTATAGAATCCCATTCGTGTTTATGTAATGTGAACGCATTATGTAATTCTAAATCCAATGTGTGATAGGAACCTGTATGGAAAAATAATTTTTAAGATAAGTTTTGAAATAATTTATGTCGAACCTTTTTTAACATATTCATTTTCTTCAATGGTGCATCCCTTGATTCGAAGTGCACACGCAGCACTATCATAGGAAACAGTTTTTACGTCAATAGTTAATGTCATTCGTTTTCTTGTTGTTGTCGATGAGCCAGTATCAGTTGTTTGAACAACTTTTCGGACAGTCGATGCACGAAGACTATCGCCAACGGCAATCAAATTGTAGGCGTGCCACATATCTTCTTGTTCTTCAGGTTCAAGCCGGAGTTCACCACTTAAACCTCGGTCGAGGTTTTTCTTAATTAAACGCATTGTAAAATTTTGTCGTTTAGATTAGATCATATTCGTCATGAAAAGACGCAGTATAAAAATGAATCTAGAAAAAAAAGTCGTGAGCTTTTTTCTTTTTTATTGTTCTTTCGAAAGTTTGTTACACGTTAGAATGATTCATAAATATTTCCAACGTTATTTTTCTTGGTGAAATTATTTTACCAATAGAATCATATGTTATGTACAAGCATCGCCCGAAATGAGACAAACGTTGCGTCATCCAACATTAAATCCATGCTATACTTTGTTCCAATATTTGTTACGATATTATGATCGATAGATGTCAGCACCTGTCATCAAGAATGATCTCTATTATGGTGTGAGGGAGTGAGTGGTAGCAGAACTCTACGTGTAACTCTGTTAAACAAAACAAAAAGGGATATTCGACATTTTATGTAGAACAAGTAACTTTATCAAAGTGATGTCCTCCTTGATAAGAATGTATTGTCGATTCGGGAGATGTAAAAATAGTAAAGCTTGATGTCCAGTCGTCACGAAATTGACATGTAACGAACCAACGTTTCTCTTCGAGCCAGAACGGTGTTCGGAATGAGTCTATTAATGATTCGAAATTCTCCCAATTTGAACAGTAGCAAAATATGCAAAATTCGAACCGAGAAAGTTTAGGTAATTTTGTTCGGACAAATTCTTCCCATCGAGATAATCGTCGAGCAAATTCAAACGGTCTGCCCGCACTGGCGATATCTAGATGAGTGATAGACGGAAGTAAAGAAAGTAATAATTCAAGTTTATCCATTGTCGTTCGTATATCATTGAGTGTCAGAGATGTTATTTTTTGGTATGAGTTGAATAAAATAGTTTCATCTATCTCATGGATATAACAATTGTCCATGGTCAAAGAATGAATGCAAGGAGAATTGCCGAGAATTGAACGCAATTGTTCGATGGTACAAGTACTCAAAGATAATGTCTCAATTGTGGACAGGGCAGGCCATGGTAGTTTATTTTTATCACGGAGATCTGAGTAGAGAATAATATTATGAAGAGTCGGTTGTGCGATAATTTGAGAGAGAAGTTCTAATGTATCTTCACTTTCTTTTGGTATGTCTGAGTAGATGGCAAATGATCTTAGCTTACAGTTCACAGCAACATGATGTAAGATGATGTTTAAGTCATTGATGTTAGTTCGATGAAGACATAGTGAGTGAAGTCGAGTAAATTGACCGATTTTGATCATTGGTAGAGATAATTCGATCCAATTGATTTTGTAACATCGAGTTCCGAAATCCAGCGAGATAATATTTTCAGGTCGAACAAGGCGACAAATGTTCATCTTTGACGTAGAATGAAAGCATATTTTATATCGATTGTATGTATTTGTAATCGAATATAGATTTATACAAACACGTCGCAATGATAGAAGTATTGTTTCTGAATCAAGAAAATCGCAGATTCTATAGAGAAGTTCAGCGGGCAATGTCAGCAGAGAACTTCTGTATTGTTCCGCCATTACCGATGTTCTGTTAACTTACATGTTCAGGTATATCGGGTGTTCTTAGGCGGAGAGAAGCATTAGAGGTCGCCGAGAGATTGATTTTGACGACTATTTTTTCTTTTGAACGGATAGTTAGAATTCTTTTTTTGCGTTCTGCGTTATTCGTCAACTTTTCTCGAAGCACACAATGCAACAGAAAAAAAACTCCTAAGAGAAAAAAGTTACATTCATAAAAATATACCCTCAACATTATTTTTCTTTTCATCTAAATTCTGATCTTCTACTAATTAATATCATAAGATACAGTTATTGAAGTATTTCTATCGTATTAAAATGACGGTTTCGACCGAATATCAGATGATTTATTTTTCTGACAAGTCAAAATCTTTTTTCTGTTTCTTATTAATATCGATGAAATAAAAAAAATAATATGATGCATCGAAGCAAACGTGTACATTAGAGCCTTCATTTTTTCGTTCTACCATGTGGTTAATAATGGAAATTTGCATCAAAGAATGCGTCCTAGCTGTCAAATAGCATCGGGCATTCTTATGAATACCGATTAAAAATAACAACACCATACTTTAGGATTAGGGGAAAGCAAAAATTTTCTTTTCGACTATCACTGGGACCCAGTTGTGAGAATGATTCTCCATTCAGTATTGTAGCGGTATCTTTTTTATCACGTACAATCTCTGAGTCGGATATATTTAGAGAAAGCAACACATAATTATATACACGCAAGTATTCATAAATAAGAAACGATTAAAAAGTCGCATAAGACCAAAATATAATTATATACATTATTGACGCGCATGCAGAACACGTCTGCTCGCAAATTACGTTTTTTCTTGCATATGTACGTAAACATTGTAACATGCTTGTTTATTTTATTGAATCGTATTCACTTTTTCACTAGAATCTTGATGAGAAGTAAAAAATAGAATAACACCTCGGTAGGCATTTTTATTATTTCTTACAAAACATTACTATATAACTCATTGAATTGAACAAATTAAGATCTAAATTTGCGATGGAATATTTTTTTTGTAGATATCGTCGAACTATAAAATCAAGAGATGAGAAACAAAACGTATTAGTGCTACATTTCATCAAGTTTATCAAAAGATATGTTTGTAATCGTTATTTACGTATTTCTCGTCTATGTTGCCTATCAGGTTTATAAGCATTTTTGTCCACCACCCGATGTTAATAGTCAAGGAAAATATGTTCTTATATCAGGCTGTGACAGTGGCTTTGGCAATGCTCTAGCAATTGAACTTGATAAACGAGGCTTCAATGTACTGGCTGGTATTTTCGGCGAACAAAGTCGAGAAGCACTCACGAGTACTCTCTCATCACGAGCAACAGTCTTTTGTATTGATATAAGTAAAGAAGATCAAATCAATTCAGCTTACGAAATTGTTAAAGACAAAACCAATGTACTTCATGCTCTAGTCAACAATGCGGGCATCTGTGAAAATGGCCTCATCGATTGGACTTCGATGGATACGATGCGTCAACACATGGATGTGAATTTTTTCGGGCATGTTGCAATGACAAAAACGTTTTTACCGCTACTCATTGCTAAACGAGACTCACGCGTGGTAAACGTTTCATCAATTGCTGGTTTCTTAGCTGGACCAAGCATAGCTGCGTATAGCGCTTCGAAATATGCTCTTGAATCGTTCTCGGATTGTCTTCGTCGCGAAATGGCTGTATGGGGTCTACGAGTGAGTATCATCGAACCTGGTGCTATGCGAACACCGATTGTCGAAGGGCTTGATCTTGCGGCACATAAGCAATGGGTAAGCATTCCCGACGACGTCAAAGAACGATGGGGAGAAGAATTTTTTCAACATCAAGTGAAGAAATTAGAAAAAAATACAGTTTTGAAAATGGCTGAAAATCCCAACAAAGTAGTAGAAGCACTTCGACATGCCATCATGAATACATGCCCAGAAATTCGTTATCGACCCGGTTGGCAATCAAGTCTTATTTTTTTTCCACTTTCTATGTGTCCTGCTGGGTTCATCGATTTCCTAATGGAAATGGGTCGTGACAAAAGTGTAAATCCTGCTGGTGTTCGCAAACAACTCACAGACTAATTTGCTAGAATCGTAACATCAGTCATTTAAACATTCGTATTTTATTTAATTAAGCGTAGAATTGTTGCGTTGTACTGCCAGTTATATATCATCGAAAACTTTCACTCCTTTCAAATTACCTATGATCAACAAAATTTTGTGTTGTTTTCAATGTCTTGGATATGCTTTTTTTCTCAAATGAATCTCTCTAGTAAAGATTGTGTATGTGCATTTGATTTTCCTGTTATTTGTTGCAACTCATACATTTTACAAGTAAAATAATGAGTGTGTATCATCATTAAATATGCTCAAATGAAACAGTCCTCTATGATATAAGTAGGTGGCATTTTTGTTTTTGAAATAGATTCAAAATTACGGGCGTGGGTGTGGTCGAAGAGAAATTTTACTCGCATTCACTCTTATCAAAGGGTATCTTAGCGTTTTTTTTTTATTCAATCTTGTTTTATTCTATACAACAAATAAAAATATCGGTATTACATTATACTAGTTCTATCTATTTTCGGCTTTTTGCCTTTTGAACAATTCGCTTTGCTTGCTCTAAACTCATGTCCTCTTCATCGAGTTCATAGTTCATATCCTCTTTGCTTTCCTCTTCTTCAACTTCTTTCACTTCTATTGTTTTAAATTTGGATGCCATTTCAGACATATCAGCACATTTCGAATAACATTCTTCGGCTGTTTTTGACGTAGCACCAGCTTTGTTGCGCATCTGCTTCGTACGCGTCTTTCTTGAAGCAAAATAATGATTAATACGTGTCGCTGTCTCTCGATCATCGACTCCATCTTCTTCTGCTTGTTGTATTTCACGAGCAATATCTGCCTGGGCATTTTGCATAAGACGTTCTAATGTTATTTCTTCACGTACGCCACCAATAATTACTTGAGCTAATAATTGCGCATTAATCATTGGAACATATTGTCCACCGGTAATGTAGGCAATGGTCATGAAAAAATCTCGATACCGAACTAAAAAGAAAGAGAGAAAACTAATTAGATACGGCTCAAAAGATTTCAAAGAACTAACCTATGGGTGGTTCAACACCGACTGCATACAAGGTGATACGATGTTCGGCCATGTCTCGTGCGATTCTTAATGGGTCGTAACCAGCAGGACATCCATTCGGGAAACTGTCTCCATTCGGATCGAGACCGTGTGGTGGCGCATCAGAAATAAGAATACAAATCCTAGTGGCCTCTCGGCGCCATGATAGATTGATAATATCGTGAAGTGCATCAGCCACTGCCTCCGGTGTATCACCGCCACCCTCTGCTCGACATTCTTGAAGCCAACTTTCCATCTCGTTAACACTATTTGTGAAATTATGTACACGAGTGACAAATGTTGTATCCTATATAACGACATTACATTCGATGGAATTCTTATTACACGCACTATAACCACTCACTTGAGGAGGATGGTCCCGATATTCGACAAGTGCTAAACGGACGTCACTCTTTTCGCTTCTCACAATTTCTTCGACAATGGCACGAATGTTATTTTTAGCACCTTCGATGTACGAAGCCATTGATCCAGTACAATCCATTGCAAATGCAAGATCTATACTCGAAAGATAAATCTTTTCGATTTTAAAATCATTACTTTTTAAAATCTTACCGAGAATCGATGCATCATGTTCAGCCAATTCTGGTTGCTCAGGTTTATCAACGTGAAGTCCAGAGGTCACTTTAGAATGTTGACGTCTACTCATTTTTTAATAAGATAACACAAATTAGAAAATGAATGTAGGTGTATGTAGAATTACTCCTTTTTATAGATGGCCATAATTCTTACTCTATTAAAAACGTGTTGTGCAACTTTCAGTATTTCATCAGCCGACGTCACTTCTCAGTAATACCAAAAATAAAGTGTAGGCTGATGAAATGCAGACAGATAATATGCTGAAATAGAGACAAACATGGGAGTTATTTTCTTTTAACGTCATATCTATCCATGTAGCCGATTTTAGGAAATAATGGACATTGCAATGCATTATTTTACTATAGAAATGCAATGTATGCAATTACATGATAATGCAACCTATTTAATGCATTGAAAAGCCAAAAAATAATTAATTATAGTGCATTAATTCATTTCTTTTGAAATAATGGAAAATAATGGGTCAGTTTTTCATTATTCATCCATTATCGGCTACATGGGTAGTAACGAAGAAGCCAGTATGTTTGAGTGTGAGTCAACCAATAAACATGACACTCTATCTCCTACTGAAGCGACAAATTTGTCGAAAATGAAATAAGAAATTTAATGTAGTTGAATATAAATTAATTAAAGGGAATAGTACCCCAGGTCGAACATTCCGGCCACCGGATCCCGTAGGATACTCCAGGGAATATGCGGGAAAGTCACCGTATCCTGCAGGAAAACACGGGAAGTCGCTGGAACATGGAAGCAGTATTCCGGTCAAAAATACGGCCGGACTTTTCCGGCGAATTCCTGCCAAGTTCCGGTGCTTTCCGGCAGGAATTGATCGGAAATCACTGGAAAAAACGCGAAAAATTTCCAACCGGAATACTGCTTCCACAAAATCAACGGAATTACCCGGAACCGGCCGTTTCCAGGCCGGACTGTTCGACCTGGGACACTGTTTTATTTCGTCGACACGTTTCGTGCTTGGGATTACTGGTGTCGCCGACAAGAAATTCACCCATTCACAGCCAATCTGGATAATGCTCAAGGATTATTTTGGTTGTTCGAAACTCACTGTGTATTATTGATCCGATTATTAGAAAACTGACTCCAAATTATTTTAAACGTAGGACTATCATCTTTTTAGTGATTCATACATTTGTAAGCAAAAATAGTGAATATTTTGAAATTTTCCGTGTTCTCTGACGTGGCTATGTGGTGCCTCTTCTATTGTATGAATCATTCAACACGAAACAGAACCGTTTGTTTGATGTCTATGCCTTATATATTTTTTCTTTCGCCGATAATCGGCTTACTTTGGTGACTGTCGATCGCGAATCTTTGTCAACTTCTAATAAAAGTAGCATAGCAATAATATTTAAGTGAACTGAAGCGAAATCCTGAGGGTATAGATGCACTTGTGCGTGCTCTTGTACTCTCTGTTTCATCCACACTCCACACCATCAGGCTACGACAAACAACAGAAGTAAGCAAGATAAAATCCACTTGTGACTATGCTACCTAATCATAAAAAGACAGATTTGAACCTTCATTGTAATATTATCTGATTAGCGAGTGTAGATTTTTATTTTTAATCCTTTATGTCTGTAACGGAGAGAGCTGGTGGCTCGGGAGCCACAAAAACTTTGCGTTTAGCCTTCCACTCACTATTTTGCTTCTCAAATATATTTCAATTCCACAAAATTATTATTATACAATATTATAAACAACGCAAACTTTGAAAGAAGATTCCTACACTAATGTGACAAACCATGTAACTTAAAAAAATGATTATTCGTTCAATTCGCCGAGTAATTAAAATGATTACAAAAAAAAGTTGTCGTCGAGGTAAATTTAACATTACTATAATTAAAATAAATTTCATTCAATAGCCGATTTTACAAAATTTATATAGTACTTTCTCTTTTTTCCCGTTTTCTCCTTTCCTATTTCTTAATTTTTTCTTTTCGTTTTTTTCTTTTTTCTTTTCATTAATTTTAATCTTTATGTGCTTTAAGAGTTATACATCTGCATTATTGCTTATTCAAATTGTTCAATTTGTTTTTCGTTCGAACGACCTCACTCTCTAGTTAGTATCTACGTAGTCGATGATGAATTGTCGCGATGAACATGGTTTTCTTATTGATCTTTTTTCAAGTCACACAGAGTTTCTCTTGTGACCGGTCTTTTCAGTGCATCTATAACACTCTTAGCTGCTTCTTTTGAATTAGGACACGGTCTATCATCACGTAACCGATGAAAGTGCCATTGGCTATCTTTGTACGAACATGAAATAATTTTGTTGTCATACTGCTCCAAATTCGGTAAGTAACGCATCGTGGCGTACGGATCATTCTCGTGATTGAGAAAGAGATCAGCATTCTTCTCTGTAAGTCCACTTATCTTTGAAGAATTGACAGTAATTTTCAAACGAAACTCGATTGTCTCATTTTCCTTCCATTTTAGTACGCGTAGACATTCACCGGACTTGTAAGCATCTTTTTCTGGTAAAAAAAGTAATCCATCGATTTCATGAGGTATAGTTTCAATAAAGTTCCGGCTAATAAGGTTGTTTACTTCTGACAAACCAAAGAAGTATTTATTTCGTATCGAAAACGGTTGCGTTGCCTTTTTAATGTGGCTATTTCCAATGACTTTGTTGCGTATATTGACGATCGATTGAAAAATGAGCGTCAAACGTTGCGGAAATGTTTTTTTGCTCACGTTTTGGCCATTATACATGATGATATCGCTGATCCAAAAGCTAGGCTCATTTGAACCATCGGCATTATTAATTATAAATTCACCATCGACTAATGTGTCTTTGAGATGACTTGTGTACTCCGCATCGCATGGAAATTGGATATGATCAACGCTGAATAAATTATCACCTTGATCGAGCATGTACACTTTATCTTTGTCTTCTATTAACATCATGTATCGTTTCCCAACCGATTTCCAACTTATCAAATAGGATGATTGCAAAATTATGTCATAATTTCCACGATGCATGCGTACAGGATGAGTTCCCGGAAATCCTCGACGAGTCCATCCACATAATCGTCGGTATTTATTTCGAATATTGTCCATCAATGGATTGACACAGATGGGCACCACATCGCGCAAGGGAACGAAAAATTGTGGAGTAGATGACTTTGGTGATGCTGCACGACATCGTTTAGCTGATTGGTCAGAAGCATAATTCGAGTTGGAACGTTTGTTACCTCCACTTGTGGTAGGTTGATCATTTGATTCAACTTTCTGGTCACTACTTGTCAGACAAAAGTTGGGAATTGCTGACTACAAAATAAGTGCAATGTGTTCATCCCCTAATTTGTGTATCAATGCGTCTTACACGAGTAAATTTCTCTCTTTCCTATTCAGGTTTCAAACAAACTAGAGGAAATAAAACTGAATTAGCCACTAAATCATCTCAAAATGCTTTTTAGTACGGCCCCTTTGGGGCTAAAATATGTTGCGAGAGAATCGATCGGTAGAAACAAAATGTCGTATTTAGTTTTTGTATGCTTGCTAACATCTGTAATGGGGGAGGGAGAGAAGACGTATAAATCTCGTCTTTAAAATTGCACTTACGGATTCTTGTTGGAGCCGACCAGGTTTCATCAAAATACTGCTGCCTTCAACCGATCGAGTAGATTTTAATTTCTTAATCGTGTCATCTACGAGCGTCAAATGTTGTAACTGGCTCAAAATCTGCATTTGCTCTTTGGCACCTTTTTCTGTATCGTCTTCCCGATAGTCCTTGATACGTTGTTCAGTTTGTTGAATTTTTTCTGGTAACTTATTCTCGTCCAGAATCTTCAATTTCTCCAGTCCATTGACCAGCTGTTGGTCGAGTCGACAATGTTTTAGCGCATTGGTACAGTCTTCAACTGATCCAGAGGATTTCAATGTCGTAATCGTGCCATCTACGAGCTTCAAATGTTGCAACTGCCGCAAAACCTGAATTTCCTTTTCGGCATGTTTTTCTCTATCATTTTCTGGATAATCTTTGATACGTTGCTGAGTTTGTTGAATTTTTTCTGGTAATTTATCCACGTTCGGAATTTCTAATTTCTTCATTCCATTGATCAGCTCCTGTTCTAGTTCAGAAATAGTGGATTCATCTTCGTCGTCTGTCCGAGTAGGTGATTGATGAAATGTTTGTTTTTCTCTATACGACATGCGATTTCCTTCTGCAAACATCTTTGAATCGTGTTGAAGTAGTAAAGGGTTGAATGCGGTGATACTAAATGTAGAGTACAAGAGTTATTAACGTGTTTTTTGTTCGATCACTATTTCAAGAAGTATTCTGATTCAAGTTTATAACTAGGAGAATATCTGTTATCTGTTAGAATAATGTACGATGAATTCAGCCTTCAGGTGTTTGCTTTAAATTTCAGTTTGATTCCAAAATTGCTGTGCCGTGTCTTTTGTTTGTTTAAAATTCATTCTTAGTTGTTTGTAAAAATAAATCCTATATCTTCAGTCTCAACATTCTCATAATAAATATTTGATTCTGTATCTTATCTCTCTCGCTCTCGCTACCGATCGGAGAACGATATTGTTATGTTCCTCATGCAAATTTGATTAAACTCAGCTGTTAATCGAGCAAACGAGTTGATTGTCTTACCAACAATATATTTATCAATACAAATCCAATGTTAAATGATACGCATTGTATTCGATCTTATAATGTCGTATACTTCGTGAAGAAATTACATGAGTATTGCTAAGTCAAAACATTTTCCCGTTGACTTATTGATTGACATCAGGCAACAAAAATGATTAATTTTTTCTATTTCTCAATTTCTTTGTTTTTACATAGCTAAGAGCGAACAAAGTAAAACTTTAATAGTAGTATAATCAGAACTTTGCCGATAGAATCACGGACACAATTAACATACAAACATGAAAATTGTTGATGAGAGGAAACGTCAAAAGAATGAAAACTTATTCTTTTATGATAATATCTTCAGATTTTATTGAAACTTACTTAATGAGCCAACTAGTTGAATAACTAAATTCTTGAAAGAAGAATTGAATGATGATAATATAATATTAAAGTTTAATCTAAAATAAAATAAACTTATCCATTAAAGACAAATTCTCTGTTAAAATTTTATTATCACTTTCAATCTGAGATGAATTTTCTTTTCAATTTTAGCTACGCATACTTTGTGTGGAACAGCGAGTTGTCAATGGGAAGCATTGAGTGTTTCAGATATTTCAAAGTCACACAGCTTAAACTATTAGTCAAAAACTGAAATGCGCATCAGTTCTACTTAAATAAAAGATACATTCTAGTACTCAAAATCCTTGTATATAGTGTTGTGCGACGCACTATTACAAATGCTCCGAAAATTTTACATCGAGCCACTGCAAAATATGTTTACTGGGTATTTTTTTGCGTGACTCAGCTTAAAAAAAATATTTCATACTTTTCGTTTTCTTTTAGTTACCATAGGAACCAGAAAAGAATTTTGCTTCTACCATTATTGACAACTGCGAAAGATATTTGTTGGTTTTTAAACGACACCAACGGCTGAAAAGTATTTTTAATTTTCTAAATCATATTACCTTAGAGACAGCAACATTCTGAAGGGTGCTTTTGTTACTTTCTACACAGGGGTGAACAGGAAAGATAAAGTCTTCATCAACATAAGTAACTAAAGCAAGGAATAGAACGAAAACAAAAGGAATGATAGAAGATACAGTTGGCTACTACTGATAGCGTAAGTGTGCGATAAAAGAAACCAATATTTGATAGTCTCTGTGAGTGTGAGTGTGAAGCTCCTCTTCAAATATACCCACATACTGTGGACGGCTAAAAACATCCTCGGTAGGCGATTGGATTGATCCGAGGCAAGAATGAAAAAAATATTTCCATGATCAAAAGATATGAGAGATTTTATGCTTTCATCTGAATCGTTGAAAAACTCCATACTGTTATTTCAATCTTCTTCAGAAGTAAGATAATCACGACGCTTCGACGCTTTAGAATTTGATGATAACAATACTTGAATAATTACTTTTAAATCATCAATTTATTTTTATATGACGCAATTTAAGTCTACAGACTGTTTTTGAGAGCTTCGAAGTTAATGGTATCTTATGCTGTGAAAAGACAAAGAATAGAGCATCTTACAAGCTACTTATTCAAGTAGACAAAACTGAAAAATAAGAGTCAGAATATTACTCCTGTAATAGACATGTGCTACTGATATAGATATCGGTGTTAGTTTTCGATTTGGAATCACTGTCATATCAATGAACTAATGCTCGATCGGAATCAAATGGAGAAAAAATAAAAATTGCCATAGAACTAGAAGATTTTGAAAATGTTTTCATTATCAAAATCTCGTGTTATAGGTTTGATTTTTGGCACGACAATCGAAATTCTATTACACTGCATATTCATGATAGTCAACATACATTGATTTAATTTCAACTCACTTAAATATTATCGTTGTGTTAATTTTATTAGAAATTTAAAAAAATTCGCGATCGACAGTCAATAACGTAATTCGGTTCTTCATATTAATAGTGAAGTTTTACTGTTCTATGAAATCAACTGTTGAAGTATTTTTTGTGCAAGGGTGTGGGTGTGGGTGGACACTTATTCTTACCCACACGCACCAACCCACCCACCCTACAAGAGAAGTTTGTCCATTAGTCTAAAAATTCTGGTTACGTCGCTGGGGAAGTACAATATATGTTGTACGTAAAAATATATTTCGTCAAAATTCGATTCATAACCTTTCGATTTAATGAATTTGCTGTAGATTCATCACAAGTCGAATCAATCACGATAACGATTTAAGGATACAAAGTGTATACTGTAGTACTCAGCTATTGTATGCTGATTCCTAATATCATATTTATACACTCAGAAAAGTAAGTTTTTAGCGCAAAAAATCTCCGAATAACAGTCATATTTTATTTCGAAAAGTCGTATTTTCTCAGCACAGATTTGTCAAAATAGAAAATCTTCGCTTAATATTTTTTTCGCGTATACAAGCACTAGTTTTGAACAATTGTGTGAGGGAAAAGAGGAATCTCACAATATTTTTTCCTCAAAAGAACGTACTAAAGACGTTTCTATATGTTGTAACTCGAGGCGTTCTATCAAATCAGGTCAAATAAGTCGGATCTTATTACATCATAATAAAATGTTTGTTGTTTCTTCGGTTTCCAAAAGTCTGAGTTAATTACTACGCCGTGAAGGAAAAATGAATTCTTGATTCGTTTATTACTGACTGGAACAGAAATATTTACTGTTGAATTACATGGAAATATATCACATACTTTGTAATAAATATGTGCTAGTTCACCAATGATCACATGCCAAGTATATTCGAGTGTTCTACTAGTAAGTGCATCGGAATATCGACTAACCAAAACATAATTGGCAATATTTGAATAAAATATCTTTGGATGCACTAGTTAATGGCATATAGTTATGTTTATTCCACTGTAGCGCTCGTATGGCGGTAACAATATCTGAGGGGCCTTGTTAATACCAAGATGTTCGATGTCCATGAATGAAAGCTATTGATGATGATAGACTCGAATAATGATCAACAATGTATTGGAGATCAGCTACAGCTTTTCTGCCTTTATTAATTGGCATCTTATGATGATATATTGATGGATTTTCTGACCGTGTATAAACAATATGTGGAATTCCATCATTAGTTACCAGCTATAGTCAATCTAATTTTTCAATAAAATGTGATACAACCATACTTTTGGATAATCGAGATGATGCATTTGTTCGTAAAGAAGAATTCAGTTTGATATGTGACTAAATGAATGAAGAATGAATAAGCTTCGAAGATTGAAATTGTAATAACTCACAAAAATTGAAAAATGGGTCTACGAACGATGCGCATGACGAAAGTTACGCACGGATGCTCTGCGCACGAAATAAAAATTCACATTGATAAATAAGTAATCATATTATCCACTGTATCATACACTGTAATTAATAGACATAGTCTTCTTAATTGTCTAAATTAATCATTTTGAGTGTGATCGTCTGATCTATATATAAAATAATCATTCACATTGGAAAAAATCATAATCTATTATTTTCAAACATGCTCACTCCTATCGAATTCACTACTACTTCAAAAGGTCGTCCATTGATGATACTAGATGGCTATTTATACAATAGAGATCGTCGAACTTACACAAAAACGTATTGGCGTTGTGAAAATCAGAAAAGTTTGAATTGTCATTATCGATTACACACATGTAATTCTACTAGTACTGAAACTCATATCTTAATATTAAAGCAAACTGGAACTCATTCGACAAGTTGTAATCGTGATTTAATTAAAATTACGCTAAGAAAATTACGTAAAGACGTTTTGGATCGTACAAAAAGTACTCAAGAAACAACAGATGCTGTATTATCACAATGCATCTCAAAATTACCTGATCCGCCTCGCATAAAGTTACCACCATTAGATCATATCAAAAGAACTATCCAGCAACAACGAAAAAGGATTGATTTACCACCAGCTCCAAATAATATGGATTTTCCTTGTATACCTACGATTTTACAAACAACTAAACGAAATGATAATTTCTTACGTATAGATACCGGTCCAGGTGAGTAATGCACGCTTTCCTCACGATTTAATTTAAAATATTTTCTAGAGAGTACACTGACTAATTCATTTTTATATATTTCTTTAGGACCTGATCGAGTGTTGATCTTCAGCAGTCCCGAACAAACTGCAATTTTAAAATCTGCATGTGATTTTTTGATGGACAGAACTGTTGATGTAAGCTGGATTTTTTGCAACTAAGTACTATACACTAGTTAAAATTTTCTAATTTAATTTAGGTAGTACCAGAGATATTTTATCAACTATATGTGATCCATGCTGTTGATCGTGGACATGTTATTCCTGTAGTATTTTGTTTACTACAAAGAAAAAGCACAGCTACATATAAAAAAATGATCAATAAAATTGTAGAATTTGCTCCAACTTGGAGTCCTCGAACCATAATGCTTGACTTTGAGAAAGCAGTTGCAAACGTGCTTTCAAACAATTTTCCACAAGCTTGTCTCTCAGGATGTTATTTTCATTTACGACAGAGTATTCATCGAAAACTACACGTATGACTTATTTATACGCGAGTAAAACATGCTAAATGTATCGTTATGATTACAACTATTTCGTATAATTTTTTATTTAAGAACAAGGTCTACAAAAGAGATACGAAGATGATGTTGGTTTTGCTCATGGTATTCACAAAGTGGCAGCATTGGCATTTATTAACCCAAATGATGTAATTAATGCATTTGCTGATCTTAGCACTCATCTTGGTGACGGCTTTCAAAGTATGTTAGATTATTTTGAAGATACTTACATTGGTCGCTTTCGTGCAAATGGATCACGTGCGAGGCCTCTATTTAATATTAAATATTGGAATGTTTATGAACGAGCCAAAAACCAGTAGATGAGAACTAATAACTCTGCTGATGGCTGGGACAGGCGAATCAGTACGCGTATAAATATAAAATAAAAAAAGAAATTCTATATATGAATACATTTCTCATTTCAGGATGCGTTTTTCAATGTTCACATCCAACACTATGGAAATTCATTGATAAATTAATATTAGAGAAAGATTCACAAATTCACACAAAAATTGCTCGAGTCAATGCTGGAGAACCAACGACAAAGAAAAAGAAATATTAGTATCTCGATAAACGCTTACTGAATCTTGTTTTAAATCCACATCAAAATGTGATTGAGCAAATAAGTGGTGTAGCTCATAATATCATTTTGTAATTTATTATCCTCGTTAGAAATATGTACACTACTGTATTTATTTGTATCTATATAGTTAAAACTAAACTCTTTTCGTGCTTTACGTACTGTATTAATTATTGTATTTATGATTTTTGCAATAAATTAAAGTTGTTGTTGTTATTGGTACTTCTGCACATTTTTATAAATTTTTAACACATAAATGTGAATTTTTTTATTTCTTGCGCAACTCACTGGTGCGCATCATCAAGTGAGCAAGTTTCTGCGTGTGCATCGTTCGGGATCCCGTTCTATTTCTCTCTGAATCACAAGTGCCCAGGTGCAAGCAACTGGCCTGGGAAACGGCCGGTTCCCACCCATTCCCACGATTTCACGGAAGCAGTATTCCGGACCGGGAAACCTCCAGATTTTTCCTGTAACTTCCGCCAAGTTCCTGTTGGTTCCCGTCGGAAATCACCGGGAAAATCCAGAAAAATTCGTCCCGGAATACTACTTCCAGGATCCGGTGATATCCGGCGTTTCCCAGCACGTTCCGGTGCGTTTCCTGCATGTTCCTGGCCGGTTCCAATTAAATCAGCTCATTTCCGGAGGCCGGAAACATCGTCCTGAGTACTAAAATTTACACAAGATAGTATTACTGTTGCCACTCTCACTGCGAAGAAAATATTGTAGTTACATTCCCCATGTGCTATTGGAAAAATTTATCAAATGCTCCTATTTCAAAAAACATTAGCTAATCACACACCTCAATGTATATTTCACGAGTATTACACGAATCATAGGATAAAACTTGGTCGAACTCGATCATATTTTAGTTCATATTCATAAAATGTTAATTTTCGTCACCAATTAAAACTTCCCTCTCGTGAATTCTAAAATTATCGTAACGACATCGCACCATCATAAAGATTGTGTTGTTCAATTGAAAAAAATATGGAACGCTTCACGATTTTGCGTGTCATCCTTGCACAGGGGCCATGCTAATCTTCTCTGTATAGTTCCAATTTTGTTGTACTCTCACTACGGCAGTTCACCGTAGCGGACAATTAACATACTATTTCGTCAGCATATATATTGAATAAAGGTACAAGGAAAGAAAACGGTGAATGCATTTTTGTAAAAATTTCGCAATTCAAATATGATTTTCATTACATCTGTCAGAACGAAATCTTTTTTTTTAAGAAACCATCTTGCTATGATTATAGCTTGTAGTAATAATATTTGTGGTACAGAAAGCTTTTCTGTAACACAGATGCAAATTATTGTCTTTCTGCTCTGTTACTTTAAATGCTGATAGGTAGCTTGAAACGTGTTACAACATTAGGGTGTTGGTGGGGGTGTGTTTATCTGAAGCTTGGGATAGAGATCCACACACCCACACGCACACCCTCAGGGCTGATTATTCTCCACTTTGGGTAGAAGTGTTTATCAGAATACCAATGAGGGTAGATTATTCTCCATGTTCAGAAAAAGCGTTTATTATAATATCGTTGATGGTATACCAGTATGCGAGGTCATCAAAAGGGTTTATTATTCTACGATCAAAGTTCAAATTTCTGAAATTGTCAATAGAATGATTACAATCCTACAGTTTGATTGAAAAGATGCAGCTATACCTGTTAAGATAAATTAGTTCATAATGCTAAGTTCTAGTTTCAAAAAGGTTTGTTTTTGGGCATGGTATTTGATTCTTTTATAGCTGTGTTAAGTGAGTGACTAGAGTATTTTGACTCAAAGTCGCTGCAAAATCTAGTTGTTTGGCAGGCGTGGCACGTTTTTAACATCACGAATCGATGTGACGATGAAAATTCACAAAATAACTGATTAATTTTTGCAATATATGAAGTAAACAATCGAATCGTTGGCCACGCATCAGTCAACATCAAGTTCAATTGTTAAAGAACTATTCCAATAGCTAGTATCATACTCTCTGATATTTGCAACAGGAATTGTGAAACTAATATGAGTCATTATCTCTTTAGATCAAATAATGATTGTATGAAAACAATTTAAGAAAGGATTCATATTCAACACTAATAACTAAAATGTCTGAAAACGAATTTCTGCTCTCTCGATGAAAAATCTGTTTTTTTTTTAATGAATATCATGAAGTAAACCCTCAAACACTGTGATAAATAAGATCACTTTATCGTAGGAATCACTTTCTTTAATGTGCACTTCAGGTAGTTTTGAGAACGAAGATTCGTTTTAAAATCAAAATTATTTTAAGAATATCAAAAAAACTAAGCTGAGAGGAAAGCATGCGATGAATCATTGGCACTGTGCTCAGTGAAATCAAGGATTTATCCATATTTCAGTTGAATTTAAAGTCTTTATCAAAATAGTTTCTTTCATCTGATAGCATTATTGAGCCAAATACAGGAACAGTACAAATTATAGTTTTTTCGATTAATTTGTTTTCATTTAAGACAAATCGTAGACATTGTTTCATTTCTTGTTGCTTTTACGCGAAATGTTTTATTTCGATGCTTGCAAGATACAACTNGCTCCTTTCTTATGTTACGTTTTGCCTATTATTCAATAGAAACTGGGAGTTGTTAAAAGACATCATCCAAGCAATACATGAGGACATGTGTAGATAGGCATTTTCTTGTAACAGCAGAGAGAATCACTCACGAAGCCAAACCGTAAAAATGTTGGCTTATTTATCGCAACTATAAGTAGGAAAATAATTCAAGTCGTCAAAGAACTAACCTTAAATACCAATAGAAAGTTTATCTCGTGAGTATTAACCACATCTTTTAATATCTTTCTAATAACAAATTGTTGGCAGATATTGATAACGCCATTTACAAGAATGGTATGTAATTTGACAATCAGAATTATTCCAACCTAATCATCATACACTGTAACAGAGCGACTTGTGGAAACTCTAAAACGAAATTCATCGAGAGAAAGTTCTGGTCATTGATACTGCATGTTATTCTCGAAAAATATCATATAGGTCTTATTAACCTTAGAATCGACAGTAATATAAACTAGCATGTCTTACCATACAGAAAGAGACACGTGCTATTTTTCAGAGTTGAGAAGAGAGCGGTGGGTATTTTCACGATCTGATCAAACAAGAGTAAACATCTTCGAGTTTACTTTCATATTTTAGCATGTGTGGTTTTCCATAGCATTACATGCAATTTGCATTTAGTCTTTTCGTATCGATACTTTATATGTTGGCAGAAACGATGATATGCTTTACGAAAAAAACCTCTCTTTTAGTTTGGATACAAGAAACAACTTTCAGAAGAGATATGAGCAAGTTCTCTTTTTTGACCAGTCGCATTGCATGCACCCTAATCTCAATTATATTCAATTAAATCGCTATTGTTAATATTGTGTCTTCACTTTGTTAATGTCACTAGAATCATCAATATTGTTCCTTCTCTATGAACGCATCATTTTGTCCTAAAACTTTTCTTTATTTTTCCTAATCGACCAAAATGTTTTACATATGATTCCCATCATTTTTTTTCTATATGTATCTTGTCAGTGAAGCCCTACCTTTTTATATAATCTAAATGCGAAGTATGATTTTTCATTTTGTATAACTGTTTACAATTCGAGCAAATGTTTCGACAGATTCATTTCTATATAGAAAGATACATGTTCATCGAATGCTTCTATTGACTCATATAAATAAAGTGAACATTTACCATGGAAAAAACAATCGTGTTCATTCTCTATAAATTGCTCGATGTATATAGTTTCGCGAGCACACTGAAAAATAAAGTATGCTTTATCAAGTGATTTCTTATCTAACAGCTGCATAAAGTTATCCTATCGATTCTATTCTATATATTAAAGAAAATATTATTTTCATGTTTTCGTTTTCTTTATGTATATAAACATAAAATATTTCAGAAATGATACGATCACGTGCTCATTCTCAATCAATAGCTCCATATCAATGACTTCAAGAACGGAATAAAAGTGAGTATGATTTTTCATTCGACTTCATGTCTTTCATATCGAGAATATCGAGAATATTAACCAAACAATCTTTTTCCAGATATCGTGAACCATCTTCATACAGAAGCAAGTATTCGGAAACTAGAATGAATAGCTAGTAGCTCTCTACGAAATGCGTCACATCAATGTTTGCTTCAACCTGACGATAGTTAAGTACGGCGTTTTATTCGATATCACTTTAACATATTGAAAAGTTATCTGGCATGTTTTTTTCTACATAAAACACTTCTTCTTCATCATTTTATCATTTTCTTCATCTAGAGAAACCAGCAGAACTTGCGCAATTTCTACGACAACGTGCTTATTGACAATGAATTGATGTACGTCGCTGGTTTCATCAACTTTCTGAAAGTTATGTATGACATTTGTTTTGTTTTTGTTTATTTCATATCGAGAAAAATATCTGAACGATTTGTTTTTAGATAAAATAAATCATCATCATCTGATCATGTTTTCCCTCTAAATAATCAAGTGGACTTCTAAAAAGTGGTGCAAACAAAGCCTCATTTTTAACCAAATGCTTCGCATCAATGTTGCCTCTAAGCGAATGAAAGTTAAGTATGACGGTTCACTCGATTTCGTTTCTTTTATGCCCAGAAAATTATCCGACCGATTATTTTCTATACAAAAAGATTTGGTTTTACATAAACGTTTTCTTTATCTAGATAAAAATGAAAACCTTTCAAAATTACTGCGAACAACTTCTGGCTCTCAATAAATTGGTCCATCTCTATCATTTCCACAATCCACTGCAAAGTAAATTACATTTTTTCACTTCATTCTGTTGTGTCATATCGAGTAAATTATCGGAACGATTTTTTTCTTGGTGAAGTGATATATTTCCATTCAAGCATTCTATTTATCTAGGTAAACACGAGTAGTTCTCAGAACTTGTGCGAGCATGCGCTCATTTTGAATCAACCACTTGGCGTCAGCCCTTTTCACAATCGAATGAAAGTTAAGTATGAATTTTACATATTCAGAAAATCATTTCAGTGAACCTTTTGTATATGAAAAGATCTCCTTGTTTATAATCATTTTATCTTTCTAGATAAACAAGAGGAACTTTAGAAAATGTTAAGAACATGGGCTTATTCTCAATCAATTAGTCCGCGTCAATGGTTTAACCGGCCCACTTAAAGTTACGTATCATTATTCATTTTATTTTTGTTCTTCACATATCCAGAGAATTATGTGAAGATTTTTTTGTACATTAAATGTTTTATTTTCATTCAATCATTCTATTTATTTAGATAAAGAAGTGAACGCATTGAAACTGGTATGAATGTGTGCTCATTCTCAATGAATTACTTCAAGTCAAAGATTTATCCGACCCACTAGAAGTTAAGTATGATGTTTCCTTTCATCTCGTTTCATTCCTATAAAAAGATAAGTGGAAGGTTGTGTTCCTATGTGAAAATATTCCTTCATATATTAATTCTATCTATCGATTCAAAGAAGGTGAACTTTGTAAATCATCATGAAAGCATTCACATTCACAATTTATCGACAAAAATCAGTGCGTTCTCTAATCGGTTTAAGGTGAAGCGTCAGTTCTTTTATGATATTGTGTTTGGCTCCTAAGAAAAGTATAGACAGGCTCGTGTTTCTTTAAGGTGGTGGAGCTTTTTCCGTTTGCTACAAATAGATTAGTAAACAAAATTGTGTATAATTTGACCAACTAGTTGTACTTTACAGTTGACGACTACAGAATGATACTACTTGTTTTCAACCAGAATAAGATGACTATATTTTTTTCTAATTGAGTTGGCTTTGTTTAGAGAAGCTGTAAGCTATTTCGTAAGGTGCTGACATTATTTCTTTATGCAAGGCATTGATCGGGCGAAAGAGAGAAAGAAACAATGAATTGGATGGGTTCTGTGTATTGTTTTTTGATGATAAGTAGCCGTCGTATCAGTGAGGGGAGTGTTTCTACTAAAGTTTCTCAGCGAATGAGCAGTAGTATTATGTAGTTGAAAATAGCATTTCATGCGTAAAATTTAAGTTTCGATGAAGGCGCACACCCTTTATATATTCAGACTAGATACTTGATAACTTGAGTGCTCTATAATATGTTATTAATATTCGATTCTTGCTCATTTTTTAATAATTTTTCTTTTAGATCTTTGGATTTGATCTCTTTTATCAATTAATGGAATTATGATCATAGATTCAATAGAAAGGTTTCGTATATGGGTGAGTGACATTTACTTTGAACTTTCAGATGCGTTTCACAATGCACGTTAGCAATTGTTGTCAATTGGTAGCTGCAATGTACTGATTTCTAGTAAGTTTTCAATTTAATCAGAGATGTTTTAAGAGAAAATTGTCATCTATTAATAACGCACGCTTTTATGTTTAGGTTTCATCAAACAAAGTCTTCAAAGTAAATACAGAATGTGCTGAATTGCAAATACTATTTGCTTAATATCTTATGTGAGAATATCGCAAGCGGCCAACGTCAATAGAAGTGAGTAAAAGTTTTCGTGTGACATCACAGAGAATTCATCTGAAGTAACCACTTAAAATCATTCCTCCAGGTTACTTACTCAGTTTTATGTTAATTTAGCTATCCTGGTTGTATTGATTAGTCGCTGCTAGCAAGAGATTCGTACTATTCCTTTTAATCATCTTGATTTCGACTCAAGATCGAATTATCTTCAGGTTTTGTAGTTTCGCTCGTTTCTTGCTGAGTGAGTATTGGATTCTAAGACAAGATCGAGTAAGAGTTTCGACAAGTATGAAGCTCAAAACGAAGAGAAAATCACAGATATGTTTTTTTCCAGTCTCTGGGAGTCTACCATTCTCTTGTTAATTATTATAAAATGCCATAGATAGCGAGTGTTAGATACATATAATTATAAAAACTACAAATTATTCAGCATATCTCTCTTCGTAGACATTTGTCTATCATCAACCAAGGTGAAAAACAAAGTATTCAGTTATTCTCCGACCCCTGGAAGTAGCTCATTGTACTCTTGAATCACTCTATTTATCCTAATATCCTCACTGAAAACGATACTGAAGGTCCACAATCGCCTTCATAAACCTTCTCATAAACCCTTCAGGCAGTTGATGAGGTCCATAACCGGTTTCATAAACCCTCTCACAAACGCTGGCGACCGTTCATGATGTCCATAAACGCTTTTAAATAGCATTTCTGAGAGGGGCTCATGGGTATAGTATTTTAATCAACCCTTGTTAGACTGAGTTTCAAAGATTATATGAGAACCTTTGTGTAAATTATCTACCCTTTTCAGGGGTTTATGAAAGTGCAACATGTCGCAATCCTTTTAAGCATTTACGAATCTGATCAACCCTTCAATAAACCTTCCAGAAAGCATATTTAACGACAATAAAGTCCGTATGAAACCCTTTTTAGAGAGTTTATAACAGGGTTTATGACTCGTTGGTAAACGGTTGAAAAGGATTTGCTACACGTTGCACTTTCATAAACCCTTTTTTCGTTTATTATTCTATGGTTTTTTTTACAGTGATCGGTATACCAAGCATAATCATATGCCTTCTGATTGTCTAAAATATATCCAGCAAAATCTTCTTATGTAAGTGAAGGCATCATGCCTGAATTGTTTTCATTTTGTCGAAATACTCCGAGAGGATATTGCTTCCTGTGTACAGTAATATAAATGCCTTAGAAGCATGAAATACATAGTCAAGCGTCATATTTTATATGAAGAACGATTATTTGACATTTTATTTTCTTGCCATTCTGACGCGAAATTTCATCAATTGCAACAACGAAACAAAATGAGAGATAATAATAAAAAGAGAAAAATAGAAAAACAACAAAATTTTATTTCAAGCAATTGCATCCTCCCACCCTCTTTTAGAGAACGTTTTAACATTCTTAGTAAAAAGATGGTCGTACAGTCCTAAACTTCTAGGTTTACTGCAGCTATAGAAATAATCTGGACGGAGCGAGATTGGAAGATTCCATTTGAGTAATATCGAGCGTGATAAGCATAGAAACACTCTTATCACAACGACATTCTTACACTCAAGAAGAATTGTAAAGAAACGCATAAAAATACCTTCAAAGAGCAAACATACGGCTCCATAAAGTTCGGTGATATTGTTGGAATAATACCATTGAATCATACTGGGACAAAAACAACTGACGAAAGATAACAAAATACCAGTTGAAGGGTTATTCTGAATATATTTATAAACTGTTGATTCCAGCGCAGTATCGCCAATGCAAAGTTGAGGAAAAACGTGATACAGTCTTCTGAATTTCTCCAAAATCTTGAATATTTGGCACTATTTGAGAAATAGCATTAGTGTGTGAATATCAATATAAGTATTCTTATGATAATAGGTTGTCTCCTTTCTTTTCTTGCTGCATTTTACGACTCAAGACTCTGCCTACCTACCATAATACTGCTTTCTTTTAGATGGAATCGTCAAATAGAGATGGTAGTGCTGGCTATCAGCCCAGTGCACACGGCGGACGAAGTTCACGAGGGTTTATGCATCGAGCTAAGAATATTCATTGTAAGTGGATCACAAAATTTTCTCTTTGTCATGATATATTATATTAGCTTTTAACAGCAAAACTCAGTACGCCTATTGATCCTGATCTCGACGGTGTAGGTGTTCATGTGGACATACCGGATCTCGTTGATCGTTTTCAAAATGGCAATCAATTCAATGTTGGAGCAAGTGTAGATGGTAAGACTTGTTCATAAAATGTTTTGAGAGGTTCCAACTGAAAACTAGTTTAAAGCAAAACTATTACTCTAAGTTCTACTTAACGCAGTAATTGTAATATCATTTGCATGCAGGTCTAAAGCCCTATGTGGATAAAAGAAATCAGAAAGTCGGATTTTCTTTGTTAAATGGAAGAGTCTGTCCGGACAGGGATATTGGTGCCGCCTTTGAGATTGGTAAAGTCGAAGGCGGTATTGATGGCCTCGGAGTTAAATACAACGCTTGTGGGGCAGCGACAAATGTTGCGTTGGGTCCGGTCGATGTAAGTGTACTATTGATGGCAAGAAGCTTTTCTTGAAGCTCTCACTTCATTGCGTTTTAGATCGGTGGAAAGCTTGGAACAGCAGAAGCTGGTGCAAAGATTTGGGAGCCTGATGTGGGCCTAGATGTTGGAATCAAGGCCAACGCCTCAGCCGTACAAGCGAATGTGGGGCCTATCAATATGAATGTAGGCGTGGGAGGTAAGTTCAGTCTTCTATTTGGATTGAAACTTAAATAAAGGCTTCTACTAGTTGATACTGGTGTGAAGTTTGGGAAAGAAGGAGTAGGAGTGGAAGTTCTGGGAACGGGTTTTCAGATCGGTCGAACCACAGGATTTTCGTTGTTTGGATCAAGTTTGTCTTTCAAACTATGGTAGAACTCATCTTGATTTCCACAGACATTTTTGGATGTCAATACTCTGGTGATATCTTTTTATTTTGAATTAGCAAACGTCAAATGGATACATTTTTTGCTGATTATTATGATTTTTATCGTCAGTTTTTTATAATTTTCTAAGCATTCAATTTATATTTTATTATATACATTAAAAATCTATTTTGAAAAAATCAAGAAAATACTGATCTATGTGTTTTAAGTATATGGGTTCGTTTTAGAGTAACGAAAGATACAAGGGATATATCAGCTTGTTCATCTGGGTGTGGGTGTGTAGGAAGCTACCACAATCGATTTCGACCTTGCTTAGGAGTCTCGTCAGGTGGCTTAATATCTTTAGGTCGATTTAAATTCAAACATAAAATTTTGAACAAAATCAATTCAAGACGAACTAGAATGGCTAATGAATGAAGTGTGGTATGAATCGACTGGAGATTTTCTTTTGTTTGAATGTTGTGTTACCATGTGTTAGACATCGGTCCTGGGAAATGTTGGTTGTCGTGGTATGTTGTAATGATTTCGCCTTAGTAGATTTTCATAATGCATAGTAGAATCGTCGAGGAATGGTAATTTAAATGCTTATATCTGTATATCTAGAATGAAAATGATGATTAATTCAATTGTGAAAATCAATAGGTTACACTGAAAAAAAAATAAGCCCTCTACGAAACTTAAAAGGGTTCCGAGATTTGCAACGAATTCGAAACCATTTTTCTTTATCATACGGAACCTTCGAGGTTCTTCAAGGGTTTCGTAAAGTCTCACAAAACCCTTAAAGATATCGGAGACTCCGACACANTTATAACTAACGCAAAGTATTGGTTGGTATTGGTAGATTTTCATTGTGAAAATTGGCAATCTTTATGTGTCTCCAAATGGTATTGTTACATCCCTACTTGGAAGTGGAGCTGGTTTTACCATTGTTGGATGTGGTCTTTTTTGTACTAACTCATGTCCAGTGTTACGATGACTTCGATGCCCAACAAATAGTCGAAGATTTATTGCTATTGTATCTTGAACTATTTCTGAATAAATCTTGTGTATGTCACGTTTCAGACGATGTAGTCGTTTTTCATGTGTATTATGAAGAAAGAGAGTGTTTGCGAATTTATTCGACTTATTTTATTTTGAAATTGTAGTGATCGTTGTTGTATTCTTCTGTATTGTGATTGTCAATCTCTTCGTGGAATGAAACAGCTGCAATTCTATGTTATGTTTCTCGTTCTTTGACAGTGAGTTTTGGTAGTAAGGTATTTTTCATAGCTAAAAATTGATTCTCGTTGACAATGAGCGGTATCATAGATGATTTTGACACTGAGCGACCGGAAAATTTTCTAAAATGTGTATCAATATACCTGGATGGATACCTAGCCGATGTATAGTATAGTAAAGGAATTTGACAATTAATGAAAGAATGAATGTTCTTGACAGTGAGACTTACCCATTACAGAGCAATATCAATCGAATAGCACGATGTTTCTTTTCAAAAATGTTCAATGTCGATGAATAACGTACAGCTCAAAGAAGAGCAGCTTGCATAATATTCGAAAATACATGACGTGGATGATCAGAACTAAATGGTACAACACATGGTTCAGCTGCTGGTTTATGATGAGCAGGTGTGGATAGAATACCATTCTTAATATTGATCAGAAAATCAAGAAATGAAACACAACTACCAATAGTAGCTTCTAATTTGATGTTTGGATGAAAGTCATTAACTTTCTTGATGGCTGCCTCGATTTTTGTCTTTGGTTCATTAAAAGTAAAGAAGATACCCATGTTGCGAATACCGGATCGATTTTTGCGGTAAACCGCGGTATTTATCCGTTCTGCGGTAATGGGAGCCGGTAACCGGACCGGTAAAACCGCGGTTAACTGCCGATTTTCATGCGGTTTTTATTACATGGGTATCATCAATATATCCAGGATGGGTGTTGATCTTCTGTCCAATCGCACCCCACACCCACACCTCAAGAGCATGTGTGTTGATTATTTAAGATTCATTTTCTTTTATCTCATATGAAACAAATATATGGAAGCTATCAAGTGAAATCAGACAAATCGGGAGTACAATATTGATATTCGTTATACAGTTGTTTCATTTTAATTTCCGAATAAATTTAAAAAAAATATCCATCAAATCAATTCAAAAGCAAAAAAGTGTAAACTTCGATTTCGAATTAAACAGACATCCACTTATCAAACCCATTGTTTTTTTAAGTTCATACTGATCATTACGATATAAAATATTTTTTAATTTCGTTATTTCAACCATGAAAAATGTATGTTGATGAAAATAACGGCCAACTATAGTAAATGCATAATAATTCTGTTGTTATTTGTGATGATAAGAAGTATGGTGAAACAAGAGATAACGATACTGATCTGGGTTTTAAAGTCAACAAAAGGTAGATTGAATAGAAGGAACATTTTTGTATGATTTATATCTTTCATTGTTTTGAAGCATGTTGATATAAAAATGGTAGATACTTTCTTTTTGTAGAAATAAAAGCAAGAAAATTTACTGTTTGCTGTATTGAGCGATGAAATTCAATTATCGATGGCTATTTCTAATAATTTCGTCGATGAACTATGTGTCGAGTGAAGGACACACATTTTTAGTCTCCGATTACGGTGTTTATCCGAATGATGATCTTGATGATACAATTGGAATTCAATTAGCTGTCAATGCAGCAATCAAGCATGGATTCGCTAGTGATATTATTTTTGAATACGGCATCTATACTATAACATCAACAATTTTGATTATGAATGCAACTGATTTAACAATACGAGGACAAGGAGCCGATCAAACATATTTGATTGGTTATAATCAAGTATCGATGTTTTTTACCCAATATTGTCAAGCTTTGACATTGACTTCATTTTCAATTGACTACAATCCACTTCCATTTACAGCTGGTTATGTGGTTAATGTAGATGACAAATATCTTGATATTAAAGTGGTACCACCACATCAAGCTGATATCAATAGACAAGTTCAAGCCATTCTTCGGTATGATCCAATAGAAATGAGACCAGCTTTTGGTCCAAATACATATGAAATCTATCAAATGCCCCCTACCGATGCTAAGACTACTGTTGTTTCACCTGGTGTATTACGATTACCATTGAGATTACCTTCGAAATTTCTTAAAGGAGATCCTATTGTGGCTCGTTATGCTTTTGGAGGTCATGCTATTTATGGTCAAGATGTGACTGATATGACAATTCAATCAATCACTATTTATACATCATGGGGGATGGGCTTTGTTACATTGAGAGCCAGACGTTTAAATATTATGAATTATCAAGTTTTACCACAAAATGGACGTTGGATGAGTTCAATTGTAGATTGTATGCACTTTGCAGATACGAGAGAATACATTTCTATATCCGATAGTATATGTGAAGCAATGGGTGATGACGGTTTAAATGTTCATGCAGTTTTTTTTCTTGTAACAGAGATTATTAGCTCGAATACGATTATCATTGCAGCGACCAATTGGACCGATCCACTTGATTTTGGAGTTGGTACGACTTTAGAATTTAGTTATAATCAACAACCATTTACAATTCATGAAAATGGGACAGTGTCTTCATTAATATTTAATTCTACAAATTCACGAAAAATAATCTTCACGAATTCAGTTTCTGTCAATGTTGGTGATTGGGTATGTGTCGCTAATACACCTTTGTTAACTATAAGAAATTTTACGGTTGCGAATAATCGTGCTCGTGGTGTTCTATTAGAAACACGAAATGTCGATATAAGAAAATCATTATTTAAACGAACAAGTGGACCTGCAGTTCTTATTCAACCATCAATATATTGGCATGAAGGTCCTGAAGCTCGAAATATTTCATTGAGTGAAAATATTTATATTGATAATAACGAAGGTATTGCACAGGAAAAAGGCATTATTACTATACTACCAGATCCACTTCAGTTAGTTCCAGTCATTAATGATATTCGAATAGAATCATCAACATTTTACTTTGGAATCTACAGTCAAGCACTTCTTCAATGCGATAATACAAATCTATTATTGATTCGTGGAAATTATATCGCAACAAACAGCTCAACACCTTTCATATCAATATGCAACAGTCGAAATATATCTGCCGAGAACAATTGTGTAGTTAATAGTGAAACAAAAATTGATGAATATTATTCATTTGATCCAACAACACCATGCTCGAAGAATTTAAGTAGTTTAATTGATTTACCATCATCAGCATTTAATTCATCGTTTCCTCCACCAGTTGTTCTAAAAGATTTCTTTCTTCTCAATCGCCGATATCGATTAAATAAGGGACAATATTTCGAGTAGTTATAGCAGCAAACATTTCGTTGAAAACAAATGGTATTTTCAATTTCGTCGTAGAATGTGGGGTGGTAGTACAGTTCATCGCATATGAATAATTCAGTATGTTATTTAATTCATCACCTTAATAAATATACTCCCACTAAAAATTGATATCGAAAGAATACTAGAGTGTTATAGAAAATTGGAATTACTGATTTTTAATGTTCACAGTATGGAAAACCTGCAATTCTATTTTGTTGGATCTCGGTTTGAGAAAAGAACATTTTTTTTGAGTACCATCCCATAATGTATTTGCATGTATTCAGAAGTTATAACATGTTGACTGTTTAGTCATCACCACTAGATTCCTATACGCATAGGATATAAGCGTAGATGTCGCTCAATGAGATATTCTCTATTACTTAATCGATGTTCACATTCACACTCTGCTTTCAAACTCAAAGTCCACAAAAAATAAAAGTATGAATACATCGCTGGATCTATGATAAGGCAAGTAAAAGCAGTCAAACAGGTGCCTCTATTCTCATACAAGTAGAAAAACGTAGTGTGATGTTTTGTGTATGGATTAAACAATAAGTCACAGTAATGTTTTCACTGCGCATCCTAAGCGTTCTTTTCGTTGTTTCAGCTAGTTTTGCTAATGATTTAGAAATTTATTTTGACTTAATCGATCTAAATCATGACGGAAAAGCAACAAGTCAAGAACTTGCGATATTTTTGGATCGTTTTTATGAAGAAAAATTTGATCCTGACTTCTCACCTACGTCACCTCTACCTTCAGCAACGAAAGCGATGCTTGAGAAATTAATTCAAAATTACAATCGAAATGCAACACGTACTTATCTTGTTATCAATGATTTGAAACGCGTTTACTACGAATTATATAGTTTACAAAATCAAGTGCCTAGCTCTGAATATCAAGGTCTTGATCCAGAGCAAATTCATTTATCATACACACATAATGTGCACAACCAAATGTTTATTTCATTTGTTACACGAGATCGACCGACCCCAAATTTGAGACCGATAATTAAGTACGGTAGCGAGGGATACATTGCTTTTGGCAATACAACAACTTATAATGTCGATGGCTGGCACCATTGGATTCATTATATCTTGATTGATAATCTTCAACCGGGAACAAAATACAATTATGCACTCGGATTTATAGAGTCAGACAATAAAACAACTCCATATATATTTTCCAGTCCTGTCTGGGCATTTAAAACAATGCCGATTCAGACGAATGGACAGAGAGAATTCGTCTATATTTACGGTGATATGGGTACATTTATGCCGATGGGAATTGAAGTAATGAAAGCAATTGTTAGTGATTTCATCAGCAATACAGATGAACAACCCGACTATGTTGTACATGTTGGCGATATTGCTTATGGTGGCACAGGAGGTAAAATTGAAATTCAAGCCGTCTGGGATTTGTTTATGAATCAGATAGCTCCAATTGCTAGTCAAATACCATATATGACGGCAACTGGCAATCATGAAAAATATTTCAATTATACAAGCTATAAAACACGGTTTTTCATGCCTTCAAAAGTAGATCCAACACCTTTTGAAGTTGATGAAAATTTCTACTTCGCATTGGAAACAAATTTGGTTCAATGGATATTTCTATCGACTGAACACGACTACACAGAAGGTGCTTCACAGCGAATATTTCTTGAAAATGCACTAGAACAGTATCAACAAAAATGGCAATTTAAACAGCGTCCATGGCTGATTGTTGTCGGCCATCGGCCTATGTATACATCTGACATAGGAGCCAATGCAGGTGACTTGCAGGTAGACCTTGAGCCCTTATTGGTTAAGTATGGAGTCGATCTTGCAATTTGGGGTCACATGCATTGTTATGAGCGAACAACGCCAGTAAAATTCAATAATGTGACAGATCGTGAACACTTTTCCGCTGATGGAAAATTATACAAACATAATGCAACAGCAGCTAATCTAACAAGTCCTATTCATTTGACTATTGGTATGGCCGGTGCTCTCATCAATGAAACATGGTTTCCACAGCCTGAATGGTCACATATAAGATACGCAACGTTTGGTTTTGGCAAGCTTTACATTTATAATGAAACTCATCTTGAATTCAAAACTATTTTACTTGATCCAACTGTTGTAGATGAAGAGGATCGCTTTATGATTGTTCGTGAATTTTAATTTGATTAATTCTTATTTAATTATGAGTGAGTTGGAACGACTTTTACAATAAAATATTTTATCGAAAAAATCGTAATAAAATCTACTTTATGATTTCTCTTACATCTACTGCGAAATAGACCTCAAGAATAACTTTTAGTAGACGTATTAAACATGTCTACTGTTTCACATTTTTAGACATGAAAATTGATTGTAATTGAGATCAATCAACTATACACAGGGTGATAGGTTCAAAACCAGTTTATTTGTGTTCAGTCCGAGACGTAGGTATTGGAAACGATTTGTTAGAATCAAAAATAATACAAGAAAATTAGAAGCGGCAAACCTTATCCGTTACCCTCAAATAGTACAATATCGCAAAAAACACGCAGGAGGAGCACGAAGCTGAAATACGTAGTAGCCACCACAGTTGGTGACTGAAATTTGATTTGACCATTGGCATGAGTTTCTTGGCCAGCTATAGCACACAGTACCAGAAGTTGTGTCACCAATCGATGTTGGATACGTACCTTTGTACCAACCAGTTCCTTGTGTACCACAATGGAATGGTTCCACTGGACCAGGAGCCAGACGAGTCCCTGCAGCACCTGAAAATCGTACCCAAATCGGCTTTGTTTTGAAAACAGCATTGTCACATGTGATGTAGTCTGGATGACTAACATGGCGCGTCTTGTCAGTGATTGTAGTATAATTGGAGCATTGATGTGATTTAGAGCCTGGTAACATTGTTTCAGTCGGTAATGTTGATTCAACGTTTTCAGTAGGACTCTGTTTTGTGGATAGTGTTGGCGCTGTTTCTGACACTGTCGGTCTTTCCGAATTCACATCAACTGTTGACGCTAGATCAATTAAAAATAATAAATAACGTTTCACTATTCAATTTCAAACATTGCAGATCATTAAAAACAAATCTCAATATATGAAAATATAATTGGAATAACAAAGAAATCTAGCCTTTTGACTTTTCTCTCATTTGCTTACATGGAGAAGCACCATTACTGCTGCCTGAAGTTGTCACCGGAGACAGTGGAATCACTTGTGTAGAGCTCGCTCTCGAAGCTTTTGCATAGCATTTGCCATTTGTAGGCTTCTTATACGAGATTCTATCGACTTTGGTAGAAGTAAGAGTACGACCTGGATTTGGATACTCGAGAGAGAATCCCGCGGTGCTGCGACATTCTCCGGGCCCAATATGCCCAGTAAGACTCATGTCGCCAACGAACATATCAGGAAAATCATCAAGCGTGCTCGTTCCAGAGCCATCGATTCTGATAGATGCACAATCTGTGAAGTATATAAATAGTTATCATTAACATGACTGAAAAAACAATAGCTCCTATCGGTTACTTTGAAAGTATTCATTTCGATTACCAGTTACAGCAACCCACGACCTACACAATCATTCGATGGTGAATTATACAAGAAAATCAATAGAGAACTAACCATGAAAACAATGCATCTCCAGCTCGAGTCTGTTCTGGTATTTCAAAT